TTCGGAACATTTTCAAAAATTAAGTTGAAAAAGGTTAGTTTTTGTAAAAAAGTTACTATTTTAAATCCCCCAGTGAGCAGAATAAGTGTTAGATTTTCAAAAAAAATTATATCAAATGAAAGGGAAATATCTAAGGTTTCAATACAAAAAAAAATTATTTTTATTTGTTCATTTTTGAAAAAGTTATGGCAGTTTTAAGTACAAAAAACATCCCGATAAAATGTAATTTTTATCGTAAAACATTACATTTTTTTTTAAATTTTCGACAGCCATTTGCACATAGAAGATAAGATGTCGGGACAAATTTTTTTTTTTCATTTTATAGTATATAACATAACCTTTGATTTGATATATGTTTAAAGGACGCAGTATTTCCGGAACATTTTCAAAAGTTCAGTTGAAAAAGATCTATGTTTTTTACAATATTTTAAGTTTTGAACGCCCCCTATATAAGGGGAAATTGTCCAATTTTAATAAAAAGTATGTCAAATGAAAGATGTACTTATAATGTATTTAGAAAAAAAAAATTTGTGCTGATATATACATTTTTCAAAAAGTTATAGCATTTTTAAGTTGAAAATTTAAAATCGAAAATCGAAAATTTTAACACAAAAATAGTGTTTTTTTAACTACGGCAGCCGTTTAAATGTAGAAAAAAAAGTGTCGGGACAAATTTTTTTTTTTCATTTTGTAGTACATAAAATAAGCTTTAATTTGATATATGTTTAAAGGACGCAGTATTTCCGGAACATTTTCAAAAATTAAGTTGAAAAAGTTATTTTTTGTAAAAAAGTTACTATTTTAAATCCCCCCAGTGAGCAGAATAAGTGTTAGATTTTCAAAAAAAATTATATCAAATGAAAGGGAAATATCTAAGGTTTCAATACAAAAAAAAATTATTTTTATTTGTTCATTTTTGAAAAAGTTATGGCAGTTTTAAGTACAAAAAACATCCCGATAAAAGATGATTTTTATCGCAAACATTACATTTTTTTTTAATTTTCGACAGCCATTTGCACATAGAAGATAAGATGTCGGGACAAATTTTTTTTTTTTAATTTGATAGTATATAACATAACCTTTGATTTGATATATGTTTAAAGGACGCAGTATTCCCGGAACATTTTCAAAAGTTCAGTTGAAAAAGATCTATGTTTTTTACAATATTTCAAGTTTTGAACGCCCCCTATATAAGGGAAATTTGTCCAATTTTAATAAAAAGTATGTCGAATGAAATATATACTTATAATATATTTAGAAAAAAAAAATTGTGCTGATACATACATTTTTCGAAAAGTTATAGCATTTTTAAGTTGAAAATTTAAAATTCGAAAATTTTAACACAAAAATAGCGTTTTTTTAACTACGGCAGACGTTTACATGCAGAATATAAAGTGTCAGGACAAATTTTTTTTTTTCATTTTATAACATATAAAATAAGCTTTAATTTGATATATGTGTAAAGGACGCAGTATTTCCGGAACATTTTCAAGTTGAAAAAGTTAATTTTTGTAAAAAAGTTGCTATTTTAAATCCCCCCCAATGAGCAGTTTAAGTGATAGATTTTCAAAAAAATGATATCAAATGAAAGGAAAATATCTAAGGTTTTAGTATAAAAAAAATGTGTGTTGATTTGTTAATTTTTGAAAAAGTTATGGAAGTTTTAAGAAAAAAAAGACAAAATTTACCGATTTTTAAATTTGTAATTTTTTTGGATATTTCCCCCATTTTCGGGAAACGAGGGAAATTTTTTCAATTTTTATGGGTAATATCTCCAACTAGATACGATTTGTGATCTTTTGACGCATTTTTGAAAGAAATCAGTCCAGTGAGAGCTGAGAAAAAGTGGCAACAGACATAAAAAAAAAAAAAACACATCATAGTAAAATTAATACCTTCTCAACTTCGCATCGAAACTAAAATGTTTTGTTTTAAAATATTAATTGATATTTATTTCCATGATAAAAATAAAACATTATTATTTTATGAACAAATTAAATTAAATTAAAAGATTCACCAAAACAAAATTCACTTTAAAATTCCTAAGTGTCATTTAGTTTTAAAGAAAAAATATTCTAAGTCCAAATAAATTTAAAAAAAACTAAGTCCCAGAGAGTAAGAATCTTGAGTAGAGTGTCGCAGATTTTGTGTAATTTAAAATCGCCGAAAGAACTGATTTTAATAGGAAAAAATGGGTTTTTATAGTAGTCGAGGGTCGTGTAGCGATCCCTAGTGTGATCTTAGAAACTATAGATCTTAATTAATAGTTAAATATGATTGGCTGGACCTAATTGAAAACCCACACATGGGCGTGACTTTGAATCTATACGATAATCAGATTTAATTGCCTAATTTATTGATTATTTTAAGTTTTAAATAAGGGAACCCTGTTTTGGTGATCTTGTGAATTCATAATATATGACATACATGTACAAAAGATAACATAATATAATATTTTAATATTATAAGTAATAATATAATATTACAGACTGGTATTATAGAACTATCTATGTATAAATTATAGGCGATATATTCAACTGTTTATGAAGTATTATCGATAACCCCTCTTATTTCCTAATTTTTTGTTTTCCTACAAATAAACCACTTCACACACAGTAATAGAAAATCACCTTTAATATTAAAGAGTTTCATATTATAATAATTTTTAATAAAAATAGTATATTCATAATGACTGCTGATGAATTATGTTATATAATATAATGTGGGTTATTTTGATGGTAAATTTTGAGTTTAATGAGTGTTATAGAATGGATCCAATTATCCAACTAAAGTTCAAAAACATATTTGACAAAAAATTTAAAAATTACATAAAGTAATAAAAAAACATTATTTGTTTAAAAGTGAAAATATTTCTGAGTTATAATTGGTTAAATGTCATGCTAGAAACGTATCGAAACAAATATATTCTTATAACTACGAAGTATACATAATTTATTATGATCTCACTATATGAATAAAATAAATTTTAAACCCGATAATTATAAAAATGACTTTAAAAAAAATTTTATTAGAAAATTAATATAACATGAAGATAGCCAATAAGAAAATAAAAAAAAACCGTTTTGAAAATAGTTATTTTAGCTGATTTTGACACTTCTCAGTTATAAATATGTAAATACATGTAATGGTAACTTTCTATAAAGTTACCATTACTTAATTAAACGCTGTAGTCACTATCTTGACTATCTAAGGTAGATATTTGCGTAACCAAAAATCATAAACTAAATTTTATCTCTTTTAAAATAGTTTAATCCAAAATTAAATAGTAAAATAATTCATTTTTATAAAGCGAAAACTTTCATCTTACGAGGTGTGTTCAGAAAATATCAGTAATTTTGGTTTTTTTAAAAAAAATATTCATTTACTCGCAACAGACTTACGATAGGCCTTTGTTAATATTTCACACACTTTAATTTACACATTATTTCATTAATAATTCACATTACTTCAAAAACTTGTGTACCAATATTATGAATAAAAATTTGATGATCAGACTCTCCAAATCCACGAAATTTAAAAACTCCTCTTATTTTCTGACTACATTATATTTGGTTTAATTAAACCTATGTCCTAAACCTTTAAATTTTTCTAGATTAATATCGTATTAAAATTATAGCAAAGAGTTTGAGTGTTGTCAATTTATCAAATAATTAACTTCCCTATTCTACTTGTTTTTTAAATATTTTGGATTACATTTTTTTTTATATATACATCTTTTTATGTATGATAAATAAATAAAACTAATTTCATCAATTCACCTATTTTTTTTTAAATAAAAAATATAGTTGTATTTGTATGCGGAAAACCATTGTATAAGATCAAAAAACCTGAATCGAATGTCATTGTCAGAGTATTACAATGTGTATACGTAAGTATTATTTTCTGTGACTTAAAACACATTTGAGAATATTAAAAAATATAAAATTTAATTGATATTTTTCATACTACATTTTATTACGGTGTATTGTTTTAATCTATGTGTAGATTGAAACAAAACCATTAAAAAACTTCAAATTGTTAGAGTTCAATGTTGAATTAATTTCTTCAAATTTAAGCTTCATAGCTCGTTGTATTTAAACATTTTTACGTACAAAAATTAAATAAACCAATTATTTTTATAGTGTGCTTTGAAAAATAAATTCATATTGGCCTCTTCCAATGATAAGAAAGAGCATTGGTTAGATTATGCTGAAGGAGAATTTTCAAAAAACGAGATATCTGATATACACGTAGCTTTAGATGTTATCTATTTATTTATACCATTTCCATTTTTCTGGGCATTATTTGACCAACAAGTATGTATTTATTTGGATTTATTGAAAATATTTTTAAATTAGTTAGTAAGAAAAAGTGTTTTCACTAGAGTAAAAAGTCTCTTGAATAATACTTTTCGCTAAAATTTTGTGACATTAAATTTTTTTACGCAGCATAAACAATTGTATAAAATATTGGATTTTCACAACTTTGTTATAAAAATATCAATAGAAAATTTGATAAAAATATAATAATTGAGTTATTTAAAATTTTACTATAGTTTCAGAAAGCTCTTGGAACAATCTTTTAAATACATATCATTCAATAACTCATTAAGAAAAAATCAAAATTTCCGTGTTATTTTAAGAGTTTTCAGAAACTGTATGAAAATTAAAAATATAATTAATTAGAAAAAGCTATCGAAGATAGAGTGAAACCCGTATATACATATAGCTGTATTTATTCATATGTTATTTACACTAAAATAAAATTATGTATGAGTGAGTACGTTCATCAATTAAAAAATAATTTCTTTTTTCAAGTAATTTTATTATTAGGCAGTATAATTGTGAATTATGAATATAAAAAAACCCAGCACAGGTGGGTCACGGCACTGTGATGACATGACATAGTTAGGTCAAGTATAATGATATCTGACAGTGATTAAAATCAATATCATAAAAAACGCTTCAATGCAAATTTTTAGACAGTGTTTAATTTTAAAAAATTGGTGGATTATTCCAAAAGCTACATTATCTGCTATTCCCTTATTTATATTCTGAATGAAAAAGGGATTATTAAAAAATATTATTTCTCATAAAAAAATTGTGTTGATCCATACAATTTTCAATAAGTTATAGCAATATAAAGTTAAAAATGTAAAAAATAAAATCAAGAATTTTCACACGAAAATAGCATTCGGTAGCTATTTTCACCATGAAGACAAGTCCAGAGGTCAAATTTTTTTTTTCATAATAAAATATATTAAATTATATTTAATTTAAGATATATATATAAAAGTATCAGACTTTCCGGAACATTTTCAAAAATTAAGTTGAAAAAGTTCTACTTTTTATACGCATTTTAAACATTTGATCCCCCCCTGTATGGGAACTGGTCAGATTTAAAAAAATAGTGTGTCGAATTAAAGAAGTATATAAATATTATTTCTCATAAATAATTTAAAATTTAGCAATAAATATTAATTGTTAATTCATCAGTCTCTAAAAGCGAATGTGCTGTCCGTATTTTATTATAATAAATTCTTATAATAATGGTAACGTGACACCATCACACACATTAAACAAAATAAAAATCATTGGTATAACTTAGAGTGCCAAGTTGCGATTAACAAGCGAAGTTTAGCTAGACAAAATATGATGCTAAGTCCCACATCAGAAAACATAAATGAATACTCAAAACTTAGAACTTTAGTAAACAAAGTGATTAGGCAAGAGAAACGCGCAATGGAAAAAAAAAGTTATAGAGGATATCGAATTATTTAAGAAGAACCAAGACTGTTTTTCAAGAAGTGTCGGTCGGTTAAGGAAGGATTTAAAGCACGATTCTTTTCAATATAACAACGGAAAGATTAGTGAGGGATATGCATGAAACCTGAGAAATGGATTTAAATGGTAAGGAGACATTGCTGGCATATGCTGACGATATTGTAATTCTTAAAGACTCTCAAAACGAAGTGGAAGAAAGTACAAATTAATTAATTAACTCTAAGTAAAAGAATGGGCCTCCATATAAAGGAGTGCAAAAACAAAGTATATGATCATGGGTAGGCGTCATAGAAGTATACAGAAACTCACTGTTGATGAATACAAATTTGAGCGAGTAGAAAACTTTAAATACTTAGGGATCGTTTTGAATAGCAAGAATGATATGCATGACGAAATAAAATTCAGGTTGAATGCGGCGAATCAAGGATATTACGCAATAAGCAAAATTTATAGTTCTAAGATTCTCTCCAACGAAACTAAGAGGAAGCCATATATTTTTTACTTACTTAAATATCCAAAAAAATTACAAATTTAAAAATCAATAAATTTTGTCATTTTTTTCACTTTTTTTTCTTAAAACTTCCATAACTTTTTCAAAAATAAACAAATCAACATAATTTTTTTTATACTAAAACCTTAGATATTTCCCTTTCATTTGATATCATTTTTTTGAAAATCTAAAACTTAACTGGCTCATTTGGGGTATTTAAAATAGCAACTTTTTTACAAAAACTAACTTTTTCAACTTAATTTTTGAAAATGTTCCGGAAATACTGCGTCCTTTAAACATATATCAAATTAAAGCTTATTTTATGTACTATAAAATGAAAAAAAAAAATTTGTCCCGACACCTTATCTTCTATGTGCAAATGGCTGTCGAAATTATAAAAAAAATGTAATATTTGCGATAAAAATCACCTTTTATAACGATGTTTTTTGTACTTAAAACTGCCATAACTTTTTCAAATATTAACTAATCAAAATAATATTTCTTTATATTGAAACCTTAGGTAATTTTCTTTCATTTGATATCATTTTTTTTTGAAAATCTAACACTTATTCTGCTCACATGGGGTATTTAAAATAGCAACTTTTTTACAAAAACTAACTTTTTCAACTTAATTTTTGAAAATGTTCCGGAAATACTGCGTCCTTTAAACATATATCAAATTAAAGCTTATTTTATGTACTATAAAATGAAAAAAAAAATTTGTCCCGACACTTTATCTTCTACATTTAAACTGCTGCCGTAGTTAAAAAAACACTAGTTTTTGTTAAAATTTTCGACTTTCGATTTTAAATTTTAAATTTTCAACTTAAAAATGCTATAACTTTTTGAAAAATGTATATATCAGCACACATTTTTTTTTTCTAAATACATTATAAGTACATCTTTCATTTGACATACTTTTTATTAAAATTGGACAATTTCCCCTTATATAGGGGGNGACATACTTTTAATTAAAATTGGACAATTTCCACTTATTTACACTACAGTACAGTACAGTATTGTGTATGATTACGACGTGCGTTTTCTCGCACCGCTCTCTTATCTTTATTGTTGTGTTTATATTTTATTATTCACCTATACATTGTCATTATGGCCAGTTCACATAAACCAAAAGCAGATACACCGGTAAAGAGGACTTTGACCAAAAATGTCACTAAACCTGTTACGTTGGAAACTATTTGGTCTTTATTATCAGATATCAGCGATAAGGTAATTACTTATGACTCTGACTTTAATAACATCAATACTAAACTATCAAACCTCGAGTCTAGTTTTAACGATGTTAAAAATTCATTGGGTTTGTTATCTTCCGAACTATCTAAAGTTANCTTTATTTTATTATAAGGGGATTACACTGATTTTCATAAATATTATATCATTTTAAATGACATAGTATAAAAAATTAATCATATTTAAATTTTTTTGTTTCTTTAAAGTCGAGAAAAATAACTTTAAAATTTAAACTAGCTAAATTTCCATTTTTATTAAGTGACGAATGAGACGTACGGTTTTTGAGACGGTAATACTTGGGTCTTTCACGACTGTGGCACTGAATTTTTTTTAAATTCTTTTTGAGTTAAAAAAAAATGTTTAACTCATTTGATTTTTATCTCATTTAGATTCAATAACTTCAATAAAGAACAAGGATTCCATTACTGTAGTCTCCTCTCGTGANATCAAGGATTCCATTACTGTAGTGTCCTCTCGTGAGAAGAAATTCATATTAATATTATTTTACTATGTGGTTTTTTTTTTGTAGTTATCATTTATTTTCTCAGCTCTCATTTGACCTACTTTTTTGACAAATTTTTTTTTTTTAATTAAACACTATCTACAGAGTTGCATCGAAGAGTTTTTTATGATAGTAATTTTAATCACTGTCAGATATCATCTATACTGGACCCAACTATGCCACGTCCTCACTGTGCTGGGTTATTTTTTTTTTATTAATTCTATGTAATAATTTGAAATTGATATAGAAGATTTTTTAACAGTATAATAACAAAACGATAGCACAGTGGGATCATGGAACAGTATAGACGTGGCATGGTCGAGACAAGTATAGATGATATCTGACAGTGATTAAAATCACTATCTAAAAAAACGCTTCGATGCAAATCTGTAGATAGTGTCTAATTTTAAAAAATTGGAAGATTATTTCTAAAGCAGCAATAACTCTTATTTCCTTAATTTTATCACGATTAGTTATTTGATTTATAATTATAATATATGAATAAATAATAATTATAGCAATTAAATTTAGTATGAAATTGATATTCAATAATTTAATATTGTAATTTTTACGGAGATATTATAAAAATAATAATGTAGTTGTATATTTCTTTACTTTTAAGGAGTATAAAAATTTAAATGGCTTGATGCAATACTTTTAAATAAAACATATTTTTTACTTATAACAAAGTTATAAGTTTTATACACTGGACTACAGAGAACTTTCACCAGAAATAAAAATATACTTTTCTAAATCGACTCTTCACGATGTTTTTCAATGTGCAATAGACTTTTTCTATCACTTTTAAGTTTTAATATTATTACTTATTATTAAAAAATAAGTATTTACATATAAAAAAAAAATTATTAATAACAAAAAAAATATTTAATTAATATGTTAATAATAAGGAAAATGACATATTTACCTATTTTTTGAATCCTTTAAAGTTGATTTTTGTGAAAGTTTATAACAAAAAAGAAATTATTTATCATAACTTTTAGCTCAATATGCAAATTTGAAATTAACATCATTAAATAGAAAATTTTATGAGAATTAAAAAAATTTTATCGTTAAGATTAATATGCAGTCAGCAAATTTTATAATTACTATTTATAGTAAATGTATCAGAAAAGCTCAATATTTTTTTTGCATTTTTATCGTAATAGATAACTTAAATAGAAATAACAGTAATCATTTTCTAGTAACTTTTGGCGTTTAAAAAGATCCTACAATTGAAATATGAACTGAATTAATTTTAATGATTTACCTTAACTAAATAAACTAATCAAAAACAAGTTGTTAAAAAGATCTACTCAATAGAACGTATTATAAAATTTCATTATAATTGTAAAAATCCATTGTTAATTCAGGAGAAACTACCAATCATTTTTTTTAGAAATGATTTATATAGCAACATGCTACCAACAAATTTGGAATATTATAATCTAGTAGTAGCACACACAAATAAAGTAAAAGAATTATTAAGTCACAAAGTATAATGATTTAATTTTGTAGTTGAAACCTATCATATCAAATTCGATTCGTCAATAAATACTTTGAAAACATTAGAAATTAATGATATTAATTGTCTGTATGGAGAACATGGGATAAGTAACTGTTTTATTGATAAATTAGAATTTTTTTTAAATTTTTAAGGGTAATATCTTCAACTAATTGTAATTATTTGACGTATCATTGAAAAAAGTAGGTCAAGTTAGAGCAGAGATAATAAATGATAGTCACAAAAAAATACCTTCTCACCTTTGCTTCGAAGCTAATAAAACAGTACAATAATACATAAAATGTCTCTGGTAAATCCTTTTTTAGATTAAGTCATGTTAGCTTCACTATTTATTATTAATTCCTAGTCTATTTATTTTTATGTCTATGTATCCTTCTTTTAAAATAATAACCATTAAAATGTTAATTTTTTTGTATTAATTCCCTATTGTCAAAAATATTGACAATCCAAAACAAAATAAATTTTTCAGGAAAAGCAATATCAAATAGATTATTCTATACTAATTAAATATAGATAAATGATTGGATTAAACGATTAGTCAGTTATTCTAACCGTTTTATTAATTGCAATAGTCGTTATATAAACCGTTTATATGGTATTCTAAGAATATTTTTTCCATACAGTACTGAGCTGTCGTGTAGGTACATACAAATAACTTCAAAAAACCATAGAAAATTCATTATTTTATTTTTTATTAATTTTATGCTTTAAATCGTTAGCAAAAATTATTGTTACTAAATTTTCTGACTTAAAATTAAATGTTTTATTTTTATGTTGATATTGATGTAAAACTTACAAAAATCATACATTTTTAGTTGTAACGCTATCAATACACGATAAAGTTTCCCTTTACTTTTCCTTTTAAGAAATTTTATCTATTTATTAGAATAAATAGACAGCAAGCTGTTTGTAATTTTTAATTTTAAAGATATTAAATGTTCATTACTACAATAAAAAATTGTATAATCATTGTTTATAATCTATGTTTAGGGTTCTCGATGGACATTACAAGCTACTTTATTGAATGGTAGAATAGATTTCCTTAATTGGACAATGAAACCAGATCAAATGCAAGTTGTCAATCCATTGTTTGTTTTATTTTTTATTCCTATATTCGAAACTGTAGTCTATCCGGCTTTGAAACTAATAGGTATTTCGAAGCCTTTACAAAAAATTACATTAGGGGGTGTTATGGCTGCGTTGGCTTTTGTATGTTCTGCCATATTACAATACATTATAATGGTAAAGAAATGAATTGATGTCTCAGTAAATATTTTTAAAGCCATTATTTTTCTAGAGCCCGTCTGAAATTCCTTCAGGGGTAGGTCGGATGATAATATTTAATGGTTTTGACTGTGATGTTACTTTTAACTCTACTCAATTATCATCGTATGAGTTGAAACCACTAGGTTATCTCGATATAAGTTACAATCTTAACTCCAATAAAGATGAAGTAGTACCAGTAACACTCACACTTGATCCTAAATGTGTTTCTAAAACTACCAAACCATTATTAAGAGAAGTGACATTTATTAATAAAAAGGTAAAACTCAAATTTCTTTTATTATTCATTAAAATATAATTTTTGACTTAATTATTGCAGAAAAATATGTACTTTTTAACTGGTATGGGTGACAATATTAATCTAAATCTCGTTGATAATTATGATAGTGTGATTAAAAGAAACAATGTCAATCTAATTTTAAAGTAATTCAAATTTTTTTTTTTTAATGTTATTTGTATGTCTATAGTACTTTCATTAATTTTTTAGTGTAGTATTCAGTGATGATTTATTAAACAAAAAAGTTACTTTAAAAAATAAATACAGGGAAACAAACATTGATTTGTTGGCCAATACATCTACACCATTCATAGAAATGGAAAAGGGAAAGTTAGTTTTAAATAAACATATATAATACTTTGATATTATATGGAGTTCCATTTTCTGTCTCTAGATATGATGTTCTTGTCGATGGAAAATCTCTTTTTGTGGAATTAGAACTATTACCAATTAGTGTCAATACTCTTATTTTACAAAGCAATTCCAACAATAATATTGTGAGTGAATATTGTTATTTAATCTTGTACATTACATATACAAGTGTATAATAATAATTGTTACATTTAATTATACTTTAAACTGCGCAGAATGCTAAATTAGTGGTTGTAGATAAATGTAATATACACGTTTTGTGGCAACTTCCTCAAATAACCTTGATGACAGCAGGTGAAATTATGTTTTCTATCACGTCTTTGGAATTTGCATTTACACAAGTAACATAATACATAATTATGTTAGGCGACCTACTTAGCCTGACCGGTATAGTGTTCATTTGAGTACTGGGCTATGTAGGTTTTCTTGTCCTCTTTATTAAAAGCTATTGCTTTTACTAAAGAACGTTAAATATAAATAGATAAAAAAATTGTAATTTTTCATAGTATTAATTTTTTTATATTATTTTTAATTAGGCGCCTGTTAGTATGAAATCATTATTAGCAGCTTGTAACTTATTAACAGTAGCAATTGGTAATCTAATTGTTGTATTCGTGTCAGAAGTAAAATTTTTTGAAAGTCAAGTATGTGTTGATTTAGAATTATTAATTGAAAAACTATTTGTTTTTCTAATTTATAAAACATATTTTTAAAATTATAATTAATTATTTTATTTCTAGACTAATGAGTATCTACTGTTTGCTGGATTGATGATCCTAGACATAGTAATGTTTGCATTTATGAGCTTAAAATATAAGTACAAAGAAATCAACATTGATGTAGTTCCCGGTGAGACTGAACTAGAAGAAAATAAACAAAGTCAAAATTAATCTATCTGTTTCTCTGTTACAACGAAATTAAAGTAAACCTCAATGAATATTATTGACGTTTGTTATTTTTATACTAGTTTTTAAAACTGTAAAATACATAATTATTATTATTATATTATAATTGTGTATTATTACAATGGTATAATATGCTTATTAATCTTTTTCATAATTTCGTCATTCTGAAAAACATATTTATAATACAAATTTTATTCTTTTAAATAGAGTTTATAGAGTGATCAATTAAGAACGAGTCACTCATTTTTTGGAAAAATATTGAACATTTTTAATTTTCGTAAAGGAAAAAATTACTTTATTCAAAAAATTACTATAATATATAGTTCAACCATTTTTTTTTTCATCCATTCAGAGTTAAAAAACTTAAATTTTAATTATCTTTAGTGAAAAACCTTATTTATAGTTTAACAAAAAAAGAAAAAAAAACCCAGCACAGTGGGGATGTATCATAGTTGGGTCAAGTATAATGATATCTGACAGTAATTAAAATCGCAATTATAAAAAACGCTTCGATGCAAATCTGTCATTTTAAAAAAATGATGGATTATTCAAAAAGCTACATATTCTCCTATTTCCTTATTTATATCCTGATTACAAGTTTTATGATTTATAAATGTAATATATGAATAAATAAATATCTATATATACTTATAAAATATAATTATATAAAGGGAAATGATGTTATTTAAAAACAAAGTATGTCGAATGAAAGAGGGATATAAATATTATTTCTCATAAAAAAACTGTATTGATCTATACACTTTTCAATAAGTTATAGCATTATAAAGTAAACAATATAAAATCGAGAATTTTCATAAAAAAAAAAAACATTCGGTAGCCACTTTTACCGTGAAGACAAAATAAAGTCCGAAATTTTTTTTTCCATAATAAAGCACATTATATTAGCTTTAATTTAAGGTATATATAGAAATGTCAGAATTTCCGGAACACTTTCAAAAGTGAAGTTGAAAAAGTAGTCATTTTAAATCCCTCCCTGTGGGCAGGTAAAGGGTTAAATTTATAAAAAAAAAATATCAAATAATAGGTAAAGACATCAAGCATCTATAAAAAAATATTATATTGATTTGTTCATTTTTGAAAAGCTATGGCAGTTATAAGTAAAAAAAATTGAAACAATTTCGAAAATTAGCGAATTTTAAATTTGTAATTTTTTTGGAGGTTTCCCCCATTTATGGGAAACGAGGGAAAATTTTTCAATTTTTGAGGATAATGTCTTCAACTAGATACGATTTGTGATCTTTTGACGTATGGTTGAAAGAAATCGGTTCGATGAGAGCTGAGAAAAAGTGGTAACAGACACAAAATAAATAAATTTAAAAAAAACACATTGTAAAACTAATACCTTCTCAGCTTCGCATCGATGCTAAAACACATCATAGTAAAATTAATACCTTATCAGTTTCGCATCGAAACTACAAAATTCAAATAATTTTATGTTCTTCTGTTATCACTTATTATAGTTTTTTAACCAATTTTCTATGAATAGTATGATGTTTATTAGAGCTGTTATTAAAAATAAATTTTTGAAATATTGAAATTTTTATTTATTTAATAAATAATGTAGTCTTTAATAAGTATTTTCTATTGTAGAACCGTCATTGCACAGAATTGTGACTACCCAATTATATATATATCAATTTAGTGTACAATAAATATTATAAAGAATTTATAAAATATTTATTTATAACTGTAAAAATGATTTAATATTAAATAGCCTAAGGTGACATTATATAACTTATAAGAGTGGGAGGAATAGATCACATATTGATTATTTGATGTGAAAGAGAGAGAACGTAAACGATTGTAAAGTTATACCAGGCGAGAGTGTAACTACACAGCATAGACTGATGGTAATGGAGTTTAGGTTTACCGGAAAAAGAATATACAAAAACAAAAGGAACACAGGAGAAAAATCGAAAATCCATTGGTAGAAATTGAAAGGGGAAAATGAAAAAGAGTTTGTCAAGACGGTTAAAGAGAGGACAGCGTGGAATGTCGAAGGAGACATAAATTATGTGTGGAATAGACTTGCTAGTTGTGTTAAGAATATTGCAAAGGTGTTTGTTGGTGAGAGTAGGAGTAGAATACTAGGAAACAAGGAGACCTAATGGTGGGATGAGTACTTTCAAAAAATTATAGAAAGTAAGAAAAATAAATGCAAAGTATGGTAGAAGAGCAAAAGGAGAGAAGATTGGATGGAGTATAAACGCTTGTGCAAAAAATCAAAGTCTGCAGTAAGTAAGGCAAAGTTATAGAGGTATGATGAGTTGTATGATAGGCTAGGAACAAAGGAAGACGAGAAAGAAATCTATAGATTTGCAAAGATAAGAGATAAAAGGTCTAAAGATTATCATTATATAAGGTGTATAAAAAGTGTTTATAATAAGGTACTCTCTGAATAATAATAAATTACTTAATAAGGAGTACCCAAAGGAAACATTAGAGGATATCTCATGAAATGAGAGACTCGTAGATTTAATTAGCGAGAAATAGGTATCGGAAGCTGTGGCATCAATAAAAAAGAATAAAGCAGTGGGACCTGATGAAGTGCCAGTAGAAGTATGGAAAATATTAGGCAGTGTTAGCATAAGGTGGTTAAAAGAACTTTTAAATAAAATCTTATTGATAGGGAAAATTCCAAGTGAATGGAGGAATAGTATTATGGTCCCGATATTTAAAGGTAAATGTGACATACAGGAGTGTGGAAATTATAGAAGCATAAAGCTTATGAGTCATAGAATGAAAATTTGAGAAAAGGTAATGGATAAGAGAATAAGAAATGAGACTTTGGTATCTAAAAACCAGTTAGGATTTATGCCTGGTAAGTCAACAATAGAGCCATTATTTTGTGTGAGACACCTTATAGAAAAGTTTAGGGAAAAAAAGAAAAAGCTGTGTATATTATTTATAAATTTGGAGAAAGCGTATGATAGAGTACCGAGAGAGGTTTTAAAGTGGGTATTAATGAGAAAAGGAGTCCCAAAAAGTACACTAATATAATAGGGAATATGTATGATAAGTTACTACAGCAATACAAGGAGAAGTGACGAGGTGCATGTTATTTGCTGACGATATAGTATTAATAGGAGAAAATAGGGAGGAAATTAATCAAAAGCTAGAGGTTGGAGATTAGCTCTTGAAGAAAAGGATTTAAGAATAAGTAAAAGTAAGACAGAATATATAGAGTACGAGTATGACAAAGGAGAACACGAGGTTGGTGAAATAAGGAGACCAGTGATAACAGGCGAGGTCTTGATTGATGAGGTGGAAAGTTTGAAGTGGAGAGAAGTGTCCAACGTCTTATGTGTTAAAAGAATTCCTCCAATGAGGTTGAAAGGTAAATTCTACAAGACTGTAGTGAGACCACCTATGATGTATGGTTCAGAGTATTGGGAGGTTGATAAGAAAGTATAGCAAAGAATTAGTGTAGCTGTCGTACGTCGGTAGTGCACCAACGTAGACACAAAAGTTTAACACAAATTTATTAATGTTTTATATATATATATTGACGACGAGTTCGTCGTTCGAGCTCTTCTCGAGTTCTCCCGTTGGATAAACTGATCAGCCCCAATCCCTCTAATTAGTGGACTACTAAAGGGGTAGAATTTAGACTCGTCAGCACAGTCTAGCTTAAAAGTAGCAGACTGAAGGGTGACTCCTTGTCAGCCACCAGCACAACTACCTTTTTACTATACCCACTGAAGGACGGTTAAGCCCAAAAACTAGCCAGCTCGTACACTAATTATTAAGATTGACTAAAGGACCAGCAGTCCAACCTTGACTCTAGCCGCACACACACACAAATTCTAAGAACACGGTGAATATAAAATATTTGCGCTAAGCCCAGATTTTTAAATAGTTATTTTATTTAAGAAACGTATTAAACACAAAGTCAAATATAATGTAAAAATTGAACACAAAAATTAATTAAATCTTACAAAAACATAAAGTTATTCTTACACTAACGACCTAACCCGTAACTCGACGTTTCTTCGACAAAACGTCCAGTCTCGTCTCCCCCAGTATCGTCCCCCTATACTTTTCATGTTTCCCTTTTATATTCTTTTTCCCACCATTATTAATTTGCTTACCCTGCATTTCCCTTTTATATGGAATTATTAAATTGCTTAAGAGTTCAAAAATTGCTTACTACTATTGTAAAGCTTATATTATACTAAAATCGACGTAATTCAATACTTCCTCATCTAATTACTACATAGCAGAGATGAGAATGCTTAAATGAATGAGTGGAGTGGCTAGAGAAGATAAGATAAGAAATGATTAGTTAGTAACTAAAAAAAATTCTAAACTGAAGTTGTTGATAGTAGTTTTTATAACAAAGAAAGAATCTAAACATTTTTGATAAACTGTTTGAGTTTTTAAATTTTTTAAAGATCTGGAAATTAAATAGATATTCATTATTAATTCTGTTTCATAATTCCAAAGGCAACAATAATCTGTTTCAATGTGCCATAAAATATTATCAATATTTATTCTGATATCATACGTGACAGTTATGAAAAAAAGATATGTTAATAAAAACTTGTTTATGTGACATCATGAAGAAATGACAACTACTGTATGCTAAAACTTTTTAGCTACATAGGATAATTTTTATCTGAAAAAATTCATTCAATTTACTCCCTAGAATTGTTTCATCAGACAAAAAATAAACTTGTACAAAATTTGGTAAAATTTAATAGACGTTAACGCATGCCATAAGGGTTTCAAAATTCTACTATAAGGGTGGTTTTATTATTTTCATCACAGAACTTACAAACTATTTACAGAAAAAAATTATAAATTGTTAGAACTAAATGTAAGGTGTCACAGTCACGGAGTGTTTATTGTCAATTATGACTATCTATTGATATACTTTTGTATTATCTGTTAGTGTATTTATAAACTCGAAACAATATGCCTTACTACCATTGATAATAAATGCTGCGTACATGCGAATATTGACGTCATAAAAAACAATTAGCTACCTGTATTTGTAATCCCATGTATATTAACTCAAAAATTTGAAACTTTAAATGTTTATATTTAATAAAGTTATATTCAAAATTCAAATGCCATTTACTATTAAATTAAAAACTGAAACATTTTATTAAATTCAAAATATGGGTTCCCATTTAAAAAAACAAAGTTGACACCCTTGCAAGGCATAAGGAATAAACTTAAACAGTATTACATAGTGAATAATTCAAGAATATTATGTAATTAAAGATAACCAAAAAAAAAAAATGTTTAAATTATTTTTATTCTGTAAGTATTCTCCTCCAAAATTATAACTCAAAAAATGTAATCATAAATAATCATATGAATAATAAATTTATTTTTTATGTAAATGTATAAATAATAAAATTAAAAATAATTTATAAAATAAAGTCCAAACGTTGCTTTGAAGTTGTTAAGCAATTTATTATTTCTTCGGTTTGTACATCTATATTGTTGTGTGTATCGAGAGCAGCAAACCATTCAATCTTGTCTCTGATTTCGAGTTTCTCAGATAAGTTTTGATACGTTTGAGCGAAGAAAATGATCTTTCAGCTTCGCAAGATGTGACGGGAAGATGTGACCAGTATTTGCAAAAGCTTAAATACATTTAGGAAAAAATCTGGATTGCATTTATTTAAGATTTTGATGGCATTTTTTGATTGAATTTTACTGTTAACTAGATAACGTTTCCACAATAAAACTGCTGATTTTACATGATCAAAATTGTCAACTTCATCGCCGTAAAATTCCACAAGTTCTCAGAGATTTTCTTCATTGAATGTTGAACATTTTACTAACATTTGAAATCCACTTATAATGTTTTTATGATTCATAAATCGATCATTAAGTTGTTAAATGAACGAATCAAGAAATGGAATAAATAAAGTTATTTTAAAATATTCTACAGCATCATCTGTTGGAATAATCTTGGGGTGTTTTTGACGCATTGCTAATCTAGGAATTTTAATGGTAATTTCAAAATCATTTAATCTTAGAATAAGATCATTATAAAATTTTTTGATTCCAAGAGTAACGTTTTCTCTTATAAACATTAATTGGTTCTTTACTAAACTTATGTGTTCCATAGCCTCCGATAAATCAATATTTTTGGTTTGTAAATATTTACATAGTGAATGAGAATATGGAAAAATATAATTCAGAATAGTTAGGGCCACGTTAAATTCTGATGATTGAATAGCTAAAAAAAGATGATTTGCTTTACTTGATGTATCACTATCGTTCCACAAAGTTATTTCTTCTGAACAACTTAAAATCGCAGGGAAAAATTCATAAAATGTTTCAATTGAGTTATAACGCTTAATCCACCTAGTTGGACATAATTTTTTTCAATTTTTCTTTTGAAGATGAAGATTCATTTTTTTTTAATTCGTCTAAATGTGTTGAAAAAATTGTTGTTTCTTCGGAGTGTTAAAAAATTATAACACGCTTCTATTGTATTCAAAGTATTCCTTATTCCTTGAATATTAAATTCATTTGAGACAGATAGATTAAGATTATGGGCACCACAATGCACATATAAAGCTTTTGGTTGTTTTTTTCTTAATTAAAGCTGCAACTCCATTAAATTTCCCACTCATACTTGCCTCTCCATCATAACCTTGACCTCGTAGATTTTTTACTTCGATGTTTAATTCTTTTAATTCAGTAATTATATGACTCGATAAACTTTTTCTACTTACATCATATAACGGAACAAACTTCAAAAAATCTTCATGAATATTTTTGGTTTTACTATTATAATAACGAGCACATAAAGCAAACTGTTCAATACCCGATATATCAGCTGTTTCATCGGCTATTATTGAAAATTAATTACTTTCGTTAATTTGTTATACAATTTTGGATGAAATAATTTCATAACAGATGCTAACACTTTCATTTTGTATTTTCCAACTTTGATATTGTGCATTTTTACTACAATTTTCTCTAGCTAATAAAAAGCTTTCATCGCCGTATTTTGCAGTTGCCTTATGGAAAAATCTCAATAATTCCTCATGGCTTTAATGTAAGATAATGATTTGTTATCTGCTGCAAAGCAGACCCAATTTAAACTATTATACAACAGAAATAAATAGTGTTTACTGTAAAATATAGTTTGAAAAAAGCCAAAATTACCTTCCCAATTTTTCACCTTAGAAATGCTCAAGGCGGGGGAATCCGGACCCGGGACCTCACCCCTTGGTTGCGCCACTGACTTTTCTGATCTTTTCGATTTTTTTAATTGAACCCGATTATATTTAATTTATTCTTAATCTAAAATTTTAATCGTTCAACAAAACTGATATTCGTCGCATATTAAAAATTTGATCACACTATTAGCTAAAATTATTATAAGTAGCTCATTACCTTATACCAGTCGCGGGTGCTGGTGGTGAGAGTGAGACTTTAAATGGCACTGTAGTGGGACAGCCAGTTTTGAACAAGGCATTTATAAAATTATACTGTGGTATGAAAAATGCCACGATTTACTTGGTAAGTATGTTAGAAAAATACAATTTTTGTCCATATTCAAATAAAAATAAAAAAAACCTTAAAACATAATGATTTTCATTTTATTTCAAAATGCAACTTACTTTTTGTTCGCTCTTCGTACACGAGCTAATTGTTACCTTATGATACAGAGAGTTGCCATCATTGTCCATTACAATATTCATGTTACTGAAATTTGAACTATTGCATGCGCAAAACATTTATAAAAATAAATCACAGACAGGTCGTTTGCTACTAGTAACTGGTGAGTTGAGAATAAAAAATAATTATTGTAAAATTAGCAATCATCCAAAACACTATTTATACCCAAAGGATCTGGCCATCGTGGTCAGTCGATTCCAGTACGTAGCCTTATGCTTTGTGTCATTTATCAGTCTTAGTACTTAGTTGTCGCTGTCCGATTTACTGTATAAAGTTAAGTCTTTGTTCTTTCTTTTCATCTTCTTATTTTCGTCCTCGACATTTCAGAATATTTGTGTTTTGCACTTCGTCTGCGTCTCGTACCTAGGTGTTACCCTTATTCCCTTCCTATAACAACGGCCTTTCAACATTCATAGCTAATCCGGAGTGTCAAACAGGCAGCAGACTCATCATTATCTTCGTACCTACTCTACACTTCCTCAAGTGTTTTACTTTGTAAAATAAAAATACAAAAAAGTATTAATATACTTTTGTTGGAACACTTTCATTCGAATACTTTACAAGACTGCTTATATTTCAACAATTTAACTTACTATGTAAGTAATTTTATCTACATTATATCGTATTGCAATACTGTTATAAGTAGTACTATGTAATATTGGAGTGAAAGAAGCCGTAAAGGTAATTTTAATCACTCTTAAATTGTCAAAAGAGACTTTCTTCTAATTATAATTACTAATAATGCTATTGGTGTATTATATAATATTAGAAAATAATTTCAAACAATTATACTCATAAAATATAAGCAGAAATAAGAAGTTTAGAAGTCTCAACTTTTTATACTATTTAATATTTAAAAATTATTTTTACATAACAAATATGGCTACTTAATTAAATCTATAGTTTGAAATTTTATTTCATATTAAAGTATATTACATAAGCTTTAATTTAGTGTCATTTTGAATCCTTCTCTGTGGCCAGGGAAGGGTCAGATTTAAAAAAATATATAACAAACAATATGTAATTAATATATATTACTATATAATTAATATATAGTAAAATAATATATCTATTAAAAGAAACAAAATGCTTTTATTCATCCATTTTTCAAAAATTACAGTTTTAGGTAAAAAAAAAAATGAAAAAATGTCGAAAATTATCTATTTTTAAATTTGTAGTCATTTTGGAGATTTCCCCCCCTTTACGATGAATGCTGGATATTTTTTAAATTTTTGAAAGTAATGACTTCGACTATATACGATTAGTTTTTTTGACGTATAGTTGAAAAATATATCAAAAAAAATATATCAAATGATAGGTAAAGACATCCTATATCTATAAAAAAAAATTATATTGATTTGTTCATTTTTGAAAAAGTTATGGCAGTTTTAAGTAAAAAAACCCAGCACGGGGGGTTCGCGCCACAATGGTGACGTGGCATAGTAGGATCAAGTATAATGATATCTCACAGTGATTAAAATCACTATAAAAAAAAACGCTTCGATGTAAATCTTTAGATAGTGTTTAATTTTAAAAAATTGGTTGATTATTCCAAAAGTTACATGATCTGCAAGTTCCTTATTAATATCCTGATTAAAATCAAGTATGTCGTATGGAAAAGGGATTATTAAAAAATATTATTTCTCATAAAAAAATTGTGTTGATCCATACACTTTTCAATAAGTCATAGCATTATAAAATTAAAAATTTAAAACATAAAATCGAGAATTTTCATACAAAAATAGCATTCGATAGCCATTTTCACCGTGAAGACAAAATAAAGTCCAAATTTTTTTTTTTAATATTAAAGTATATTACATAAGCTTTAATTTAAGATATATATAAAAGTGTCAGTATTTCCGGAACACTTTCATAAATTAGGTTGAAAAAGTTCTACTTTCTATATGCATTTTTATGTTTTGAACCCCCCCCCCCTGTATTAAGGGAAATGGTCCGATTTAAAAAAAAAGTATGTCGAATGAAAGAAGTATATAAATATTATTTCTTATAAAAAAATTGTATTGATCCATACATTTTTCAAAAAGTTTGTAATTTGTATTTTTTTTTGGAGGTTTCCCCCATTTACGGGGAAAGAGAGAAATTTTTTCAATTTTTGAGTGTAATGTCTTCGACTAGATACGATTTGTGATCTTTTGACGTATCGTTGAAAGAAATCGGTTCAGTGAGAGCTGATAAAAAGTGGTAACAGCACACACAAAAAAAAAAAAGCACACATCATAGTAAAATTAATATCTTCTCAGCTTCGCATCGAAACTGAAAAAATTTACAACGGTGAACATGCAGAAAAAAGATTTGAAAATGCCATTTTTCATATTAACACGGTAATTTTGAGATACTTGTTTAAATATATAAAATTGTAGGATTTGTTTTAAATTTTTAGCATTAAAGGGTTCAACTAGATTACAATCGGATTTTTTAGCATAAACCAACATAATCGGTCCAGCGAGAACTAATAATTTTCGTGAATAAACATAAAAAAAAGTCATGAAAAACCTATGCCTTCTCAGTTTCGCATCTAAGCTTAAATGATTAAAAAAAATTAAATTTTGAGTTCAGTTTAATATATTTTACAAAGTTTAGTTTTTCTTTTTTTCATATTCAAATAGTTTGCATATTCGGATATTTTTAATTAAATAACAACTAAAAATGTAATGCATTAGGGGTATGTCTATTGTAGACACAATAGACTCCTAATTAATATAATTCGAGTTCTTTAGACATATTAATCGACAATATTGTTATTGTAGAAGCTGAGCCATAAGGGAGAACAAAAAATATATTAAAATCACACTATGGTTTAATTTATACCAAAAACGTAAGAAAAAATGTTTACTCTCATTAAACATGAGTATCTTGAAATAAATTGAAACAATTATAAACTGATAAAAAAAAAAGAAAAATATTGGTTATCGTATTACTATTCATTATTAGAAAGAAAGTGTGTAGTTTAAGTCAAAATTATAAATTTTTGTTTATACTTATTTATTTATAATTAAAATAACACATTTTTAGAGTTATACTTTTGAATTCTTTATCATTTAATAATGACCAATAATCTAAACCCAGACATTTAGCAACTTGTTCTTCTGCTACTTGATATGACATACTTGACTTTTTTAACCATTGATAAAACTCACTTGACCATTCACTTTGATACTGCCAATCAAACCGTAGAATTACTGCATTACGGCGCACATACAAATATTTTAATGATTGTCCATAATATGCAAGTAACAACAATGTACAAGTAGAAATTTTTTCTCTGACAATCTGAAAAAAAATATTTTTTAAAAACAAAATTGAATGTACACAAAAAATTGTATCACTCACTAATGTATCTAATTTATTACACATTCGACATAAGTCAATTAAATTTCTATCATTACGTTCAATAAATGATTTTGGTTGATAAAACTTTGGTAAATCTAAATTTCCAAATGTAAGTAAACTGTTAGAATATAATTCAACAATTTTATTAATTATATCAGCAGTCATCTAGAAGTTAAACATTTATATCATAACTAGATCATTTGGTAATTGTTTTATTTGTTAATGCTACACTAACTTGAATAATAGGTGATTTGTAAATGATGCTGGAAACAGGTGCACCAATTTGCCATAAAATCTGTCTTTCTCTTGAAGATTCTATTCTTAAATGAACTTTCAACTGAGGACTAGCTATGGTACTTCTTTTCCAATCATAAACATTAATAGATTCAATTTCTGTAGGTGTATAAGTATTCTGAACTATGTACAAATTTCGAACTGTAGTTTGACTTATTAATAATAGTAAATCACTTCCTAGGTTTTGTGGACTTATAACCAAAACCTAAAGTAAATAAATAAAATTCTTAAATGAACAATTTATTTTTTATTAATTTCTTTATAAATACAGTTTTAGATATTAACTGGAAATTTTTAATCTTGGGTCTTATGTTGAATTTTAATTTACTATTATAGAATAAACACTAAAATTGGTATTATACTTCCTGAGCCAAAAATAAATATAATAATTATAATCAGACCTAACCTTATACAGAATGATTTTTTTATCTTAGTTCATTCAATTACTAAGAGAATAAAAATAATTAAAACATTATTTATTTTAATTACCATCAGTTAGATTCTAATAGTAATATTTTTTAAGATCATCTTTTATGCTTTGTAAGGGTGTCAACTTTGTTTTTTCAAATGGGAATACATATTTTTAATTTAATGAAGTGTTTGAGGTTTTATTTGAATAGTAAACAAATTTTGAATTTTTAACATAACTTTATTCGTTTATTATATATAAAACATTAGAGTTACAAATTTTTAATTATTATACATGAATAATATATGAAGGATTACAAATACAGGTACGGAGAATTTGTCAATAATGACTTTATCAATGGATATGCTTAAAGTATAGTTTAAGGCATATTATTGTGAATGAACATTTATAAATACAGTAACTGGCAATACAGATAAAATATTTGTCGATGGTAATAATTGACAATAAATGCTCTGTACCTGTGATAACAACATCATAAAAACCCAATTAGCTACCTGTATTTTTAATTCTTCATATATTATACATGTATAATAATTCAAAAATTTGAAACATTAAAGTTTTAGGTCTAATAAATGGATAAATTTAAAAATGTTAAAAATTTAAAATATGTACTCATTTAAAAAAACAAAGTTGACACCCCTACAAAGCATAAGGGATGAACTTAAAAAGTATTAAATAACTAATAATTTAAAAATAGTATGTAACTAAAATTTATTTAAAAAAAATTTTAAATGATTTTTATTTTGTAAGTAATGAATGGGTTATGATTAAGAAATCACTCTGTATATAACCATGAACAGTGTTGTACCCAAATTTTTTTAAATGGTAGGGGAGCTAATACTAAAAAAATTTTAACAACAATTTTCAGGAATTTTGTTCTAAAATATTGGGTTAGCACAATGAGGGACTTAACACTTTTATTGATCTCTTGATAACCACCAAGTCTAATTGCATTTTTATTAAAACAAACAAAAAACCATTTTCACTTCCTTTAAAAATAATTATACACCTGTAGGTTTACAAAAACTCCTGGATGAAGTAACTGACACATCTGTTTTGTTGCATTTATCATCACCAATGTTTTTAAAGTAGCACAACAATGAAAGCAAATTTGATCCAATAGTAATTGTGCATCATAGTTTTCCAACATCAAATCAATTAATTCTAATCGCTGCAGTGATGATAAATTACCCATTAATCTTTTTAAAGCTTCTAAAAGTTTTCCTAAAAAAAATTATTGATTAGACGATTTAATCACAAATTAAAATCGTAAGATTTTGCTATAAAAGCAATGTATTTTAAATATTTAGTAATTTAATTTTAATTTAAAATAATAATAATCTGATAATCTTCAAATAAAACAGAATTCAAATAATTTGATAATTGTAAATATTTAATACATTTATTGTTCAAATAATGTATTATAAATAACCTACCCCCAGTACCATATAAAACAAGCTCATCGTGTGATGTAGCCATGTTACAAGGAAAAGTGTAATGAAGTGCTCTAATTCTTGATCCAATGTTATATCCATTTTCGACATAAAATGAAATCATGTTCATAAACTCATATAGGTTATAAAAATTTGAAGTTGGTCTAAATACTAAAACTTTATTATAAGATCCAATAGACTGAAGACAAATTTGAACTCGCAAGTGGTCTAACATAAACTTTGAAAAACAAACGTTTATGAAAATTATTTTTATTTATTTATTAAATAAATAATCAAAACGTACTTGCCAACCTGAATAATAGTTGAATTTTCGGCGAGTTAGAGTAGTGTCATCAAATACAAATGTATGCCATGAATAAGGTAAATGAAAAGCTGAATACCAAGATCGACATGTCATAGATGCATTGTATTTTTCTTTTGCACTCAAATAAGCAAATATATTTTCAAGTAACAAATTAGGTAAATTATTCCAATCTCCTTTAAACTTTTGAACTGTATTTTTTTTTAATTTATGACCTTATCATGAATATTAAATTGTGTAGAATAAAATAGTTAAAGAAATACAAAAATAAAAATTACTACATTTTACATTTATACATACTAGTAAATAAAGCAATTTTATCATCTTCTTTGTACTTATCCATTTTTAATATATATACACTAATAATGTATTATTAATGAATAATCAAATAAATTAATAATCTATGATGTAAAATTTAAAGCACACTGGCTATATATCTTATTGGGCATTCATCCAACTATTAAATCAGAAACAACCTAGGTTATCTATTTTTAGTTTATTCTAATATTTTTAATCTTTCTGTCCAGATCATTCTGTTAAGTAAAAAATTAAGTTTTTAATTTAAAAAAAAGTTGTTTTAATTATGTATAAAGTAAGGATCAATTAAAAACCTTTAATACTTCTTAAAATTAAACTGGACATTTTTTTATTAGTTTTAAATAAAACTATTTAATAATATCATGAAAATGATTCTCAAGTATCCTTATTTAAAATTTGAAAACATCATTTTTTCTAGTTTGATGTTATTGTTGCGGACCAAATATTTGACCACAAGTAATTTAATTTTTAGTTGTTCTTGGACTCAGTCCTGAGAACCCTTAGCAGTAATGCTTCTAGTTGAAGATGTAAAGCATGTATTCAAAATAAATAACCTACACTCAATTGACTTATTATATATATATATATAAAAATAATATTCCAAATGAATATAACAAGAACAATCATCAAATAGATAGTTACAAACATTATTTATAAACATTTATATATGTATAAAAATTATTAGTAAAATTGTAACTAGTAGAAACTAGATTTCTAGACTACTCAACCATACCCGAACACTAGATTAATTTGTCAATAAAGTTTGTGTTTTTTATAGTCCAAAGGTGATGAGAGTTGTGGATATTCTACGATTGACCTCTCATGTCTTCTCTAGGGAATGGTTTCTGACCATGATTTGGAGGAAATCCTGTATCCTATCATGTTTACCAAAAAATATAATTTTATCTTTTAAAAGCCTATTTAAAAGTTACTTGACCACAATGTCATTTACTAATATAATTTTTAGTTTTATAATTATTAATTATCAGCTATCAGAGGAGTCATAATAATAATTACTGGAAAGAATAGTGACATAATTAATAAAAACTTAAATTTTACAAGATAAAAAGAAGTACACAATTCTGTACCATACAAGTTTAACCAATGTTGATGCAAATTTTAAAACATTAAAAATATTGAGTGGTGTCACTATTATTGCCAATAAGATACATATACCTTAATTTTTACAAAATAATATACAGAATATTATAATATGAAAAATGTTTATTTTTTTATTAGATTTAAAGAAATAATAGATCTATCAAGTAATGATGAAGAAACAACACATTGAATGACATAATATGTTCCCATTAATACAATTAAATGTGTCAAAAGATTGACCCAAAATAATTTATTTAAATCTCCTACTGGTACAGACATCACTGCTTTTTTATTTATCTGAATACTTTTTTCCTAAAACAATAAAATATTAACTTATTTTAAAACTGATATATAAAGATATAAATAGGGATTCTATTTTCTTAAAGAATGGTTACTATTATCAATAAAAAATATTTTTATTTTATCTTTAAAATAAAAGTATATAAACCTATAGCATAAGTGTAGCAACTAGTTTTGGCCAAATATTATCAAGTAGCATAATAAAAAATTATTTAAACAATGCATTATGAGTGCATAGTAGAGGCTACATCTCAGAGATGTTTTAAGATAATTACCCATAGGCATTATATTACTTATTACTTTGTTTTTAGCATTTATATTTAGTTTAAGTAAATTTTTTTATAATTAGCTTGTATAATCAGATAAGGAAAATAAACTATATTGAATTATAACAAAATATGTAACAACATGATTTATGAATAAATTTTTTATAGTTTAAATTAGATTATTATAAGGAAGTTAGAAAACTAAATTTTGCCAATAAACCCTACAACAATAAATAAAATTATAAAATTTAAAATAGTCTAAATATGAAAAATTTTCTGTAATGAACATAACTTTTTAAATGCAGTTCATTTTTACCACTGCTCAAGCACTTATGGGCTATAAATGAATTTTAGAACAAAGTTTTACTGTCTCTCCTCTTAGTTACAAAATTATCTGAAGTCCTACATAATAAACATTTTAATTTAAAGACAAAAATTCTGATTCCTAATATTAACTAAAATGTACTGCAACAATGTAATAATTACAAAAATCCATTCTTCAGATGCAGGAGCAAAATATTTCCTGTTTAATTCAATTGGTCCTTTACAAATGTAAAACAATTGCACATCGGAATGATTTTTTCCAAATCTTATCTCTTTGTATTGACCATTTTCCATAGATTTTTGATATCTTAGATGAAATGGAAACTCTACATCAAATAGCTTATTTTTTTCATTGATATGAGAGTAATTGACTATATGTAGAACAAATGAATTTGCTTTATAAGCCGGTAACTCAACATCAATAAATTTACTATTTACATAATATTCCACCTAGAAATAATTCTTTAAGAATTTTTTTTTTTGAAATTTAATTTAAAAGTTAAAATATAAACATTTTGATTAAGCATAGACTTTTTTAATTCGTATGTGTCCACATAAATATCAGTTGGAAAATTGTATTTTATCATAATAGCACAGTCTTTATAATTAGAGATATCATAATCTGCTTCAACAATAGTATGAAGAATTCTAAAATAAAAATGTTTAAAAAGGTCTTAATCATTACATTCAAAAAAAAATTTACCTATGATAGCCATTGTTTTTAACTTGAAGATTTATACTGCCCGCATCAATTTTAAGAAAATGTAAAGAATTATTTTCTGTTAAATAATATGGTAAAGCTGATGTAACTAATGTTACAACAAAAATAATATGATTCATATCCTTAACATTAAAATTTAATCTCATGATGGCTGTAATAAAAATAACAGTTTAACAGTTTGCTATGAAAAAATAAAATTAATTAGTTAATTATTGACAATATTTTCGTACTATAAATTTTAAATGTTAAGTATTTTTAAATTAATATTGATTAAAATTTTTCATTTTCAGTATTGTATCCATTACTTTATGTAATTATCACTACAAGTTTAACCATGAATTAAAACAACTAAAATAACTTATTTATAAGTTCACCATTAATACTTTCAATATTGTTACTAGTTTTTATTACTTATTATTATTATCATTCATTAATAATAATAAGAGTCTTTTTTAATATTATGAAATGTTATCACAGATTATCATTGTTGATAAATGATACCTTATCTTAAATATTTTAATGAAAGTTATGTTTACCCGAGTATATGGTATATTCCAAAGTAATATTAATTTCCCTTATAATTAATGTCATAAATTAGATTAGTATACTCATTAATGTATATTATAAACATTCAAATAACTAATTACAACAATAATTACAAAGTGAATTCACTTGTTTTTTAAAAATATCTATTTAAACAAATTATTATTATAGGCATACATTTAATTAATTATAATTACTTATTACAGCCAACTTTGTTTTGCTTACAAAATTCGAATGACTCGAGGTGATCAATTTTTTTAGCCATACATTTTTTTCTGACTCAGCAAGTATGTAATTAAATTAATTAAAATATTTAAGTATAATAATTAAGTTTATTCAAATCTATTACAAACAGTAAATAGATATTTTTAAGATGACTACAGATGAAAAAAACTTTTTCCAAAAAACTGTTCAACATCTAGCACGTTCACTTGCCTCGCAGAACGACACTCCATGGGAAAAAGTAATAAAATTTAACCCACAAATAGTATTTAATATTAAATCACATTGAAAAAATAATATACTACTTTAGAAAAATGAGAATAAATTTATATGATTTACTTTTATTTTTAATGATATAAGGTAAGAAATACCAACTTTGTACATTTCTTCTGAAATTCAAAGATATTTCAGTTAAAAATGTACAATAATATTATTTGTTATTATATTATACTGTTATATAATAAATTTATCTAATAGTATTTTATTAAATTGAATTTTTTTCAAGTAGAACTGATAAAATTAATAAATTTAATGAAAAGTTATTTGTAATTACATTTCCTAAATATTACACTCTGTAAAAAATTTTTATATATTTAATCATTTTTTTGATATGCTAAACTTAATAAAAAAATTCTAAGATACTAGTTACAATTTTAAAAATAATATCATTATTTATTATAATTACATAATATTTAAAGCCTGCACAATGTGTTCAATTCCACTCATATGCATTGTAATTGATTGTTTATTGTTCAAATAAAAAAAATTAAAACAGGCCTATGGTATATTATTTAAAAAAAAAAATAGAGTATTTAAAAAATATAATTGTGTTGAGATTAAGAAAATTGTTATTTGTTTTTAATCATTATTTTTCATTTAGATTAAAGAATTGAATTAACCTTACAATGAAGTCTACCAGTAAAAGTTATATTATTGTTAGCCTGAAAATTTCTTTATAGTTATTTCTATATTTTTGTATTATTACTAGCTAAGATATTTAGAACTTTTTACGAGTTTGACATATCAAAAAAATGATTAAAGATATAAAAATTTTACAAAATGTAATATTTTGGAAACTTAATTGTAAATAACTTGTAACATTTAGTCATGTAATGAACAGTTTATTAAAAATAGGGTGTTGGTTTAATGTATGTCATGAATAATAAGGTGATATTCAATAGTAAATTTATTAATTCAGTTAAATGAAAGGTTCTGTGTTAAATTAAACTTGATTTATCAAATTGTTATCTTTATTTTTCATTTACTTTAAATTGAGCCATTAATAACATAACATAACATTTATGGATTTACAGGTTCAAACATTGTTTTTACTGTGTCCTCAAGAAAGCCACCATGGAGTGTATAAAATGGACCAGAGATGCCAAGATGCTATTTTAGCATTAGGAATATATTTACTGGAATCAAATTTCAATCATATTGACCAAATACTTCCATACTTATTGAAATTATTACATGGATTAGGAAAAATGGTTTGGTCTGATGATATAAAATATTTTTCCAAAGAAAGTTTGTAAATTTAATGTTTTCTATGTTCATTTTTGTATTTTTAGTGTTAAATATGAGTTACTTTACAGGAATACCAGTTGCTGAAAGGATGAGTTTTTGCTTGAATACTTTGCTAACAGATATTGCTACTCGTTATCCACCCTCAAAGGAAAAAATAATTGAAGCCCAGATAAAATGTTTTAGTAAACTTTCAAATACAATCAGATCAGCAAAATCAGATAAATTAAATGAAAATACTAAATGTATGATTTATATTTTAATAAAACTATTTTTAAAATTTTGCATTTTAAGATTTATTTAATTATAGAATTAATATAAATTAATATTATTAATAGTTTAATTAAAAATCATTAATTTTTTTGTGTTAAAATGTAATTTATATCTATCATTTTTAACAAGTTAGAAAAACAATTAGTTATTTATAGTGTTATTTTTAATATGACTTAATAACAAATAATTAATTATTTTTTTATTTTTAGATACATTATGTAAAGTAACTATTCCGTGTATGATTGGATTAGCTAGATCTATGGGAAGAGCTACCATTAGTGATCCACCACTATTATGTCGTTTATTTCCAAAACCTTCTCCTCCTGTTCATCAGAATCCAATACCTATACCTGATCTCAATATCTCAAAAAAAAAAAGTTTTTCAAATTTTCGGTATGTATGTTATTCAGAATGCATATATAAAAATATTTTACTTATAAAAATTGTATTTTAGCTCAATTATTCCAAGGTCATTATCCCTAAATTTAAACTTGGCATCTCTTGATGTAATGACACTAAGTTCACTTGATCCAATGAATGATCTCAAGTAAATATTTTTATTTAATGTAATTTTCAATATTTACTTTAATATATTTTATTTTGCAGTAACAGGATGATTTACAAGTCAGAATGTAAATTAAGTTCACAAACACCTAATAATATGTCTCACTATTTTTTTTTTAAATATGGTTCAAGTTTCAACCAATTTCCATGTACAAGATTTACTGATTCATCAATTGATCATAAATCATCAACTTTAATATTCCCTTTGGGGCATTTACAAGTATTTTTTTTTAACTTGAATATTACTGAACATTTTAATTGATAATTTATATTTATTAGACTGTCTTGTCCATTGCTAAAAAAATTCTGACTTCTGAAGTTCTCGGATTTGTTGATAGTCTAGCATTAGAATACCATATTTCTGGAGATAATAAAGCGTTTTGCTATCGAAGCTTCAGTGAAATATTGAATTTAGTTATTGCATCATTATTAAGGGAGTTATTACAGTATCAACAAGGTAAATTGATAGTTTTATTTATTATTAATGTTAAAAACACTTAGCTTTAATGTAAAGTGTTTTTGATTATTAACTTTAGATTAACTTATTAAATACTATATAATAAAAATTAACACACGAAGCTAGTATTATTTAAAATTAAAAAATATTTAATCCATAAAGCCACAAATATTGTGTAACTAGTAATAAATACACACTAACACATTTGTGTTTAATTCTGATAATAGAAACATTATTTCCAAAATATGTATATGCAATTTTTTAATCATTTTTGTGGCTTTTTGTTTTACATATTTTTTATGTTCTTAAGTTTTAAATTAGCATTTTAAATATATATTTTATATGATTATTTTTTACTATTTATTATTTTTTTTAATAAAACTTTTATTATGTTTTTTTCTATAAATATAACTTGGATAATTCTAATAATAAATAAATTGTCCAAAAAAATTTCTAATTCAGAAAATCAGAGCAAGATTAAGAACTATATGATACCTAGGGGTTATCTTGAGAAGGACCCTCCTTTCAAAAATATCTCTACCATAACAAAAATAATGAGCAAAAGAAAAAAATCTAAAATAACTAATCATGATTAGTCTAGTAAAATTTGAGATGAGCCCCTTAAGCTCCTGGATCCCAGAGCGTTAAACCAGCATTAAATTTCTAATAATTTTTTAAAAAATATTATGAAATTAAAACTGTTCAAAACCAAGTTTAATAACTATACTTAGACAATTTCTTTAGTCTGTAATAATGGTGAGTTCTAAGTGTAATTTTGTTATTTATTCCAAAATTGTTTGTCATTTATCTGTAGATTTACCTATGCCATTTACTAGAGATGTTCAAGAATTTATTAAAGATTTATTTCTGAATGGTCAGACAGAGTTGCAATCTGTAGTTCTACAAGAAACTTCTGAACGTGAAGAAAAAGATATACATTTAATAACACTAAACAAGTTTAAAATTAATGTTTTAGCAAATGCAGCCTGTGTAGATTTATTAGTTTGGTCTACAAGAGATGAATCGGGTATTTTTAATAAAATGTTACAATATTTAATTTTAATGAAGTTAATTTGTCTTTTTATTTTATTTTTTCTTTAACATTAAAATTAGGTGCAGATAGTTTATGTGGTAGATTGATGGAAAAAATAAACTCTAGTAATAATATAAAACAAGCGATGGCACATATGCCTCTAATATTAGTGTGTATGGAGGTAATTAATTATTATTAGTTTTACTATATACCTTTTGTAATATATCATCAATTTAATTATAAAATAGGGCCTAGGTAAATTATCTGAGAAATTTCCTAGTATTGCTAGTATTTGTATTCAGTGTCTTCGTGACTTTCTTGTTCAACCTTCACCAATTTTATCTAAATTGAACAAATTGCATTCTGAAAAACAAAATTTGAAAGGTTTAAGTATAACAGGTTAGTTAAAAAAGTTGAATGCATTAAAAAAAAAACTTAATTATTCTTTTAATTATTAATTTAGTAAATGGTGTGAACGAGACCAAACCAACATCAGATCATGTTGAATCTCAATTTGAAAGACTTCGTAATTCATCAATTGAAAATCTATGTATAGCTTTAAGAGCTGCTTACACATTAGATCCCTTTTGTGTACCAGCATTATTAGCATCTTTGTCTAATAGATTATACACTGCAGAAAAATCTAAGAAGTAATGATAAATCTGTATATAAGTAATGATTTATTTGCATTTATTAATTATATTTTGAAGACACTCTAGTTCATCAAAATTTATATAGGTATATAAAATAAACAATAACAATGGTTTGATTGTCTCTTGTCTAAAAAACTTGGGGATTTCAAAATATTAAAGAAAATTATGGTATATCAAGAACTTTTATTATTTTTCCATGAATTTTGAAAAGTTGATTAAACTTATAATATATATATAGACTAAATAAGGGAGGATTATGAATTCATCTCCTCTATTACAATTTAATATAAAGTTACTGAAAACCCTACCTAACCTTCAGTTTTAAATAAATTTTTGAAAAAGCTTGACTTGAGATCATATTTATAGTTTATTCTTATGAATAAGGCATGCTTAAGCTATCTTAATAAAATGTTAAAATCTTAAACAAAACTATAAATATAACTCTAAATCTAATTATTTTCAGTTAACAAATTGGTCTATTTTGAAACAGTTAATTTTCTATTAATACAACATAAATTACTATGTATAAAAGCTTTTATATATGGTAAAATTCTCTCTTCTTCCCTCTCTAAATACTAGTTTTATTTTTTTTAAAATTATTTTGCTTTAGCATGAATAATTAAAATAATAATAGGATAAACATAACAAATGTATAAATGCTTATAAATTTTCTTTTAACTGTGTTAATACTTGGAATAAAGTTAAATTAAAATCTTCTCATAGTGATTCCGCATTAATACAAGCAAATACCATAGTAATGTTAGGTCATATAGCTGTTAGTTTAAGAGATACAGCCAAGACATCTGAAACAATATTGCAGTTTTTTCAACAACGTTTTTGTCGTGTTCCCAGCTCTATTGATGTACTTATTGTTGATCAACTTGGTTGTTTGATCATAGCAAAATGTGACGTAAGTCTGATATAATTATAAAAAGTTTAATTTCAATGATATCTTTATTTAATTTTATATAGATGAATGTCTATGAAGAGATAATGCGCATGTTTTCAACTATCACTGTTGAAGCAGGAAATGCTTTATATAGTAATGATCAGTCAAATCAATATAGGTATTGTAGATTTCAAATTTTAAATATATTTTAAATTATTTTTAAAAATATTATGCTATTATAGACATGTTTCTGGTGCAGTTATTAATGCGTTAGCTAATATTGCTGCAAATATCAACGGCGAAAATGAAATGAATGAACTACTTGTTAGATTACTTGAACTTTTTGTTCAGCTTGGTCTTGAAGGAAAAAGAGCATCAGAAAAAGCACCTGTTGCTAATAAAGTAAGTCCAATAAAAATATTCATTAATTAATAAAATATTAAACCAAAATTATTTTAAGGCTTCCAGTAGTGCTGGAAATTTAGGTATGTTAATTCCAGTGATAGCTGTTTTGATTCGACGCTTGTCGGTCATTACCCAGCCAAAACCAAGACTTCATAAACTATTTAAAGATTTTTGGCTTTATTGTGTTGTTATGGGATTTACAAATGACTCCGGTAATTATAAATTAATTTTTCATAAATTCAGTAATTTTTTATAGAAGTATTATAATTTGAACTTAATATAAAATGGATAGGTTTATGGCCAAGTGAATGGTTTGATGGTGTAAAAGAAATAGCAATTAAATCACCTTGTCTTGTCACACAGACATCAACTAGATCTCAAATGCGTGAACTTCAGTATACTTCAGCTGTTCGCAATGAGAGTGTTTCTCTAGTAAATATTATTTGTAATTTTAATTAAAAAATGTATATTTCATCATAATTTAAAAATTTTTAGAATCAACTTCAAGAGTTAAAATCTCAAATTCTTCAACACCTTAATCCTGCACCGCCAGAAGTGACTGCAGCTGTTAATAAATTATCATTTGCCCAGGCTACCTATTTACTCTCTGTGTACTATTTAGAAACTATGCGTATTCAAAACTCTTCCGATCCAAGTTTACAACCAATTTTTGATTATTTATCGGATTATGCTATTCAAAAAGACAAAACAGGATTGTGGCATTGTATATCCAGTGTGGGAGATAAAGTATTTTCACTATTTTTAAATGCAATGTCTAATCAATCAAAAGATGAAATCAGAGAAGCGAAATTAGAATATCATGCACAATTATTACTTGTTAATTTTAATCATATACACAAATTAATTCAGTGTGTTGCTGATAGATGGTTATCTGGACTTGTTTCCAAGTAAATTTTTTATTAATATTAAATAAATTAAAAATAATAATAGTTCAAATTTTATAGATTTCCTCATTTACTTTGGAATCAACGTGTATTATGGACTATGTGTGATATTCTTCAAGTATTATCATATTCTCTTGAATTAAATCCAAATAATGAAACACCTTGTATTCAAATACCATCAGCTTCATTCACATTAGTATTAATGGATACTTTAGATGCTAGAGAAGTAATAATAATAATAATAATATTTAAAACTAATAAATATTACTTTAATATTTCATTAAATTTTGTTTTAGAGCACTACTAATGATTTTGCGGCTAGATCGTTAGGTTTTATTCAAGAAGCAATGAAGTGGGCTCCTAGTGCCACAAGATCACATCTTCAACATTATTTGACAAAAATACCAAGTTCATCATATTGGCACCATTCAGGATTAGCTCTAGCTACAGAGAGTGTTTTGCAGAGTAGTGGTTTAAATTTCCATGCTGCTCCTTTATCAGTAATTTTTTCAACTTATATATCATAAAGAGTTGTTCAATTGTAAAAAATAGATATACCTAAAATGAATTGTCATCATTTTTTATCTTCTTTCATAAATTAGTTTAAAAATAAACGTTTAAAAAACCTTTTCTAGGTTTACATTTTTGAAACTAGTCACAACTTATTTCTTTAACTGTGGTTTTAAGCCCATAATTAACTAATGATTTTTTTTGTAGAAAACTACATTAGATAAACGACCTCGTTGTGTGAAAACTGATTCTTCTTTATATATTACAACATTAGGCTTGAGAAGTCATTTTGCAGGAATTGTATCTGGTATGATAACTGCTTTTGAAAATAGTCCTGAACAACTTGTAGACAATGTAATTACTAAAGTTTGGAATGCTTGTGATAATGATATTAACAATATGCATCATAATGCTTTATGGACAGCTACAGCTTTACTGATATCAATTTCTGGTAAATAAATTAGTAACTTTATTTTATAAATCAAAATGTAAAAAAAATTATCTAATTAAGATAATGATTGGTCAAGGATAATGACTTTTGGACTAGTACTTTGAAAATTAATCTTATTTTTATACCCTGACAGAACAAAGAGTGTATCCGGGAAAATGACTAGTCATAAAAATAGCAGCGCCCCCCTTGTTTTCAGACATTACTTTATATTATTAATAACTTCTAAAATACTGTTCCAAAAGTTGTTTTCAACCAGTCATTTTCTTAACTAGATTATTTTCTATTTTATAAGCTAGTTAAATATGTATGTTGCCATTTAAAAAAATAAGGTTGACACCCCTTTAAGTTATAAAGGATAATTCTAAAAAGTCATTATTTGCTGATAAATCAATATATATATATATATATATATATATATATATGTAACTAAAAGAATTTAAAAAAAATGTTTACAATATTGTAATTGTTTTGAGAATAATTCAGTGGCTTATGATAAACCAATTGTCCTGTATATATTAATTTTTTCCCGCAAGGGTACTATGTAAAGAGAAATGAGACTAATGAACCCGTGGACCTTAGTTGTTTGAAGGTTCAGCCGAAGGCCACATAACTGGCATCTCGGATCAATAAGAAATATTAAAATCTATTACTTAAAGCAACTTCAAATCTTTTGGGCCCTCTATTAATGGAGGTTGTTGTAGGGCTAACAACCTTACAGAAAACACATTATTATGATTCAACCGAAATCGCCTTGCATGAAATACTTAGAGCTAAAAGATTTCCCTATTGGAACCTGGAATGTGAGATTGTTGTATAGGGCTTTAGATTTGACGACAGTTATATCAAATCTTGAACAATATTAACTGAATATAGCTGTGATTCAAGAAACTAAATGACACAGGACATGGGAATCTAAAAAACATATTTGGATCTACTTCTATTGTGGTGAACTGGATGGTAAAATAGGGGTTAGCTTTGTCATAAGTGACAATCTGCTACCTAACGTAAAATGTTTAGAAGTAATTAATTAGAGAATATGCTACTTAGAATTAAAGTGTAAATGGTATAACTTGGTTATAATCAACGGTTTTTCACCTACTGGAATAAGAATGAGGTCATTCAGAATGAATTCTACGAAAGACTGGTTACTGTATGTGAGCTATTACCAAATAATAAGGTAAAATATTATTTGGAGGTTTTAATGCTAAAATAGGTCAAGAACCTCTTTTTAGTTCGACAATAGGGAGAAATAGTTTACATATGAACTCAAATAACAATAGTATAAGACTAATAAATTTTGCCATGGCACGAGATATGGTGATAAGTAGCACTATCTTCCTTCATAAAAACTTACACAAACAAATGTGGATGGCACCAGATGGGTGAACAAGAAACCAAATAAATTACATAGTAGTATATTGTAGAATTAATAAATGTAAAATTGATATATGTAGCATGAGAGGTAGTAGTGGAATATTAGATCATTGTGTAAACCAAAGTCAGATTTAGGCTATCAATATGATAGAAAGAACAAAAAGCACCTGTCAAAAATATTGAAAAAAAAAAATTGAACTGCTAAAGAATTTTTAGATGGCTGAACAATACAAAAATAGTTTAAATGCTATACAAAGTTAAAATGATCAATGAAATAGAAGAGCAGTATAGAAGAGATGTGGAAAAAATCCAAAAAATCAGTTGAGAAGATGGGAGAAGAAGTCATGGGATTTCAAGGAAAACGATCAATAAATAAAATGGTTTAGTGAAGAATACAGGGCCATGGCAGAAAGAGACAATGCAAGAACAATAATGCTAAAAAATCCAAGTGAAGCAAATAAACGAGAATTAACATTAAAATAAAGTATAGCGAAATAGATAATAAGGAAAAATAAAAGAATGTGAAAGAAAGCCAGAATAAAATATAATGAAAATAGATACAAATGTAATACAAAACTATTTTTTAAAAAGGCAAACGAGGTTAAAAACTGATTTAAACCAAGATCAATGATAATAAAAGATGACAAGAAAACATTAATAACTAATAAGTAGGAAGTAATAAAAGAATTTTTGAGAAAATCTTGAATGTATCAATCCAAACCGTAAGGGAATATAATAATATTGTCACAGTAGAATATTTAAAAGAACCCTCATTGGAAGGGGTTGAAATGACGGTCGGAATGCTAAAGGGAGAAAAGACACCAGAGAAGACGATTCAATGATATTGGAACTTTTAAAGAAAGGAAGAAGTACTCTAATGATAAACTTAAAACTGCTGATAAATAAAACATGCATAGAAGAAAAAATACCGAAACCATGACAGGTGTTACGAGAGTAACAAATAGAATAAAATAAAATAGTATTGCCGAATAATTAATTAGTTTATTAAAAATAAAAGTAATAGTAATCGCACAATAGTTGTCAAATGACTAACGATGCTCTGAATTACAACAGTCGCAGTCGGCCCACTTTCCGGTTTTGCAACACCGAAAAATACCTTATAAACACATTCTTATAGGCCGACCTCGATTACAATTCAATTTATGATTATCTGTTATTATAATTATAGAACAATAATAAAACTAAGTTAAGTATTCATAACACAGGTCTCTGTCATTCTCAGGCAGGACAGTCTCAAAAAAGGATATGTAATGGACTGTCAAAACTATAGAGATATATTCCTACTGAACACGTTGTATAAAATTCTCTCAAACATAATTTTAATTTTAAATAAACTAAAACCGTATACTAAAAAGATAGTGGGAGAAATACCAAGCAGATTTTACAGCAAGAAAATCCATAACTGACCAAATACATGTTATCAAACAAATAATCGAGAAAATCCATGAATTTGATAAAGATGTGTATTTGCAATTTGTAGATTTTAAACAAACATATGACTTGATATTAAGAAGTTGACACGACTTACGTCGCAAAAATGTGGTCGACACTGGTTTTGAGGGTAGAGACCCGTGGACCGTTTATTAAATGAGCGACTATAGGTCAATTTAACAAAAAATAAAACAAACTGAAAAAATGAACACAATAATAATAATCTTCGCATAATATCGCAGCACTTTCGCTGGCGTCGATGACGCGATGTCTGGTGTGATCCTCGGGCGTCAAAAGGTTAGCAGCGTTGGTGGTGACGGTGCGGATCGTTTCGTCAATGTTGTCACTCTCACAACGGGAAGAAGACTACCGTATCATTTGCGGCGGGTCGTCATCGGCCGTGCGGCAGTTCCTGGACTTTTTACCATAGCGTATGACACGCGGTGTTCGTCAGTCAAATACTCATAGTTGGACAACGGCTGATAAAGGTGGCACGAGTCGCGGTGCATCGTATATAACGAAGCGACGCGGCCCGTGTCAAAGTATACTATGTAATGTAATGATCTAACTAAGAATACCAGCTAAACTCATTAGGATGGTGAAAGAATGAATGCAAAACTCAGTTCAACTCGGTAATATCAAAGGAGTTCACAATGAATACAGAGGTGAGACAGGGTGATGCTTTATCTCTTTCTTTTCGTACTTTTTCTAGCACTTGCTCATTTCTTTTCTTGTCAATCGATTTTTCTTTGTCATTTTTCTCCATATCCATATCCCTAATGCTTCTGTCTTTCTTCTCAACTATCCATGTTTCACTGTCATATGAAAGCACACTCCAGACAAACGTTTTAACGAATTTTTTATGTATGTTTTATTTTATTAGGTTGAAACACATTTATTAATTATTTTTAATTATTATTATTGTTTTAAAGTTTTAAAAATTCTAAAATAATTTTACTTTTATCAAGAATGTTTTTAAAAAGTTTTCTCCTAGATAATTATAATATTATTTTAAATGGTACTATTTTCTCAGTTGCACACAGCATTGACAATCAATTTATAAGTAAGTGTGTCGGAATCTGAATCACAAGTACACAATGCAGTTTAAATTGTGTACCATGCATTTTAATTTCATATAATATCTAGTTCATTAATTCTCCAGTGGCTATGTCATATTTAATATCTATAACCTTGATTTCTTATTGTTAGCTCAAGAACTTAAACATTGTATAAATTTGGATTTTTATGTAATCTATTAACTATTTAAAATAGGATGCACGAGAAAACTTATACATGTTGTTGCTTGGTCACATGTAAAATTGTTCACTACTAAAGCAATGAGAACTGCTGTAGAATGCTGGCAATGGTTGACTACATCTCGACCAGATATAGAATTACAATTTTTACAAGAAATGTTTGCTGCATGGCAGGTAATTTAAAAATATTTTTATTCTTAACTAAAATGTAAAATATTTTTATATTAAAGTTGTTTTAATGTTAATTACACACATTGTTTATATTATTATTTAATAAAAAAATTAATAATCAAGTAATAATGAAAGAAGTATACTTTAAAGCTCTTTAAAAAATTAAAAAAGTTTTATTCCTTTACAGTATACAATAGATAGTAGAATGGGATTGTTTTCAAAAAATGTAGAACAAGTTAGTCCACTTGCAGTTTATGAAGGTTGTGTTTTGGAGCCAAATCCACCATTTGTTAAACCACATGACATTTGGGTTCAAGTATATCCTGAAAAAAAATTCACAATATTAATGTTTATATTAACTTAAGTTTTTTTAGTATATATCAGAAGTAGTGGACAATGTTAAATCATGCAGCCAAGAAAAAGTAGAAATGATGGCAATGATGTTACATCGATCATTACCTATGTGTGTTGGAACATCAGATGCTTTCATTAGCAGACATATTGATGCAATAGGAACTAGATTTAGGTAAATGCTTTTATTTATCTAAATTATCTTATTATTTGTATAAATTGTATCATAAGAAAAACATTTTAGGTTGCTACAATGTGGGTTAACATTACTACAAGGTGATGTATTACCTAAGTCTTTAGGAAAAAATATTTTAAGAGAGCGTGTATATTGTGCTTGTTTTGATACGTTTACTACTTCAGTCCAGTGTCCTACACAACGAGGTTCAGAACTAAGAGATGATATTTTAGCTTTAACAAAATTTTGGCAAACAATGCATTCAGATAAAAAATACTTAATGGCCAGTGTTATTGGAGGTATTAAAAATTAAAAAAATAATTTTGTCCCTAGATATAAATTTTACTTATGTATGATTAAAAAGTAAATTAATATTTTTAAGCTAGTGTATTTTATTATTAAGAAAGGATTTTTTAAAATTAAAAAAAGAAGATAATAAAAAAACTCAGCATAGGGGGGTCACAGTTCAGTGGAGACGTGGTATAATTGGGTCAAGTATAATTATATCGGACAGTGATTAAAATCACTATCATAAAAAGCACTTTGATGTAAATCTTTAGATAGTGTTAAATTTTAAAAAATTGGTGGTTTATTCCAAAAGCTACATGATCTGCTAGTTCCTTATTAATATCTTGATTAAGTCCAGAGGCCAAAATTTTTTTTTTCAAATTAAATAATATTACATTAGCTTTAATTTAAGATATATATAAAAGTGTCAGACTTTCTAGAACATTTTCAAAAGTTAAGTTGAAAAAGTTAATTTTTTGTGAAAAAGTTGTCATTTTGAAACCCCTCCTGTAAGCAGGTAAAGGGTCAGATTTATAAAGAAAATATATCAAATGATAAGTAAAGACATTGTGCATCTATTAAAAAAAAAAATTATATTGATTTGTTCATTTTTGAAAAAGTTACAGCAGCTTTAAGTAAAATAAAAAATTTCGAAAATTAGTGATATTTAAATTTGTAATGTTTTTGGAGATTTCCTCCAAAAAGTAATAACAGACACAAAAAAAAAATTAAAAAATATAAAAAAAAAATTAAAATAAAAAAAAGCATCATAGTAAAAAATTAATATCATCTCAGCTTTGCATTGAAGCTAAAAAGACCTTAAGTCAATTTTTTGCATTTTTATATTATCAGTGATTCTAAATCGTCTTGATTAATTGTTGAGTGCTTAGTTTTTCTTAAAATAATAATAATTTGTAACAGGGTTGTTGAAAAATAAAAAAGTAATCTATTTAAAATATAAGTTAACAGTTTAAATCATTTTAAATGAGCCATAAGACTAATATAAATTTTGAAAATTTTGGTATTTTAAACACTAAATGTTTAAAATGTAACAACACTTATATTTAAAGTTTTTTAATTACATATAAATCTTAATGAGTTAATGAATATTTTAGTTTTGATACAAAGATGGAAGGTATTGGTTTTATTATGATGTGTTTTTTTTTATGTGGTTTTATTATGATGTGACTTTATAATGCTATAACTTATTGAAAAGTGTATGGATCAATACAATTTTTTTATGAGAAATAATATTTATATCCCTCTTTTATTCGACATACTTTTTTAGCTTCGATGCGAAGATGAGAAGGTATTGGTTTTACTATGATGTGTTTTTTTTTTGTTGTGTCTGTTACCACTTTTTCTCAGCTCTCACCGAACGGATTTCTTTCAACGATACATCAAAAGATCACAAAACGTATCTAGTCGAAGACATTACCCTTCAAAATTGAAAAAATTTCCATCGTTCCCCGTAAATGGGGGAAACCTCCAAAAAAATTACAAATTTAAAAATCGCTAATTTTCGAAATTTTTTCAATTTTTTTTACTAAAAACTGCCGTAACTTTTTCAAAAATGAACATATCAATATAATTTTTTTTTATATAGATGCTTGATGTCTTTACCTATCATTTGGTATATTTTTTTTGTAAATCTGACACTTAACCTGCCCACAGGGGGGGATTTAAAATGACAACTTTTTCACAAAAAATTAACTTTTTCAACTTAACTTTTGAAAATGTTCCGGAAGGTCTGACACTTTTATATATATCTTAAATTAAAGCTAATGTAATATACTTTAATTTGAAAAAAAAAAATTTGACCTCTGGACTTTTCTTCACGGCGAAAATGGCTACCGAATGCTATTTTCGTGTGAAAATTCTCGATTTTATTATTCATATTATATTTAACTTTATAATGCTATAACTTATTGAAAAGTTTATGGATCCACACAATTTTTTTATGAGAAATAATATTTTTTAATAAACCCTTTTTCATTCGACATACTTTATCTTAATCGAGATATTAAGGAACCAGCAAATCAAGTAGCTTTTGGAATAAAACACCAATTTTTTTAAAATTAAACACTATCTAAAGATTTGCATCGAAGCGTTTATTTTTGATAGTGATTTTAATCACTGTCAGATATCATTATACTTGATCCAACTATACCACGTCACAACTGTGCCGCGACCCCTCTGTGCTGGGTTTTTTTTTTTAAATAACACCATTTCCCTTTATATATTTATATAATATAAATATATAAATATATATATATATTCATATATTACACTTATAAATCATAAATATTGTAATCAAGATATAAATAAGAAAATAGTTGATCATGTAGCTTTTGGAATAATCCATCAATTTTTTTAAATTAAACACTATCGAAAGATTTGCATCAAAGTGTGCTTTGTGATAGTGATTATACTTGACCCAACTATGCCACGACCCCCCCCCCCCCTGGGTTTTTTTTTTATATCAAACCGTTTATGCCTTATAAAAACTTTATTCTTTTTAATGACAACATGCTTATTTATATAGCTTAAATATTATAAAGTTTTTTAATTACAAAAATGACTGATTGAAAACAACTTTTGAGCAATTATTTCAGAAATATGAATATTTTGTACCTATAAGGAAAAAGAAAGTACACCTGAAAAATATATATTAAATCAAAAAAGCACACTCCCAATATATATTAGAGTGTTAATACTCTAAAATACTGGATTAAACATTTTTACCTACTAATCATTTTCTTATTAAAGTCTTTAAATTTAAGCTTGATAATTATGCATGTTATTATAAATAAAAGTTAAGTTGTTACTCTTATAAAGAGTAAGGTATCGTCTTGATTAATTGTTGAGTGCTTAGTTTTTCTTAAAATAATAATAATTTGTAACAGGGTTGTTGAAAAATAAAAAAGTAATCTATTTAAAATATAAGTTAACAGTTTAAATCATTTTAAATGAGCCATAAGACTAATATAAATTTTGAAAATTTTGGTATTTTAAACACTAAATGTTTAAAATGTAACAACACTTATATTTAAAGTTTTTTAATTACATATAAATCTTAATGAGTTAATGAATATTTTAGTTTTGATACAAAGATGGAAGGTATTGGTTTTATTATGATGTGTTTTTTTTTATGTGGTTTTATTATGATGTGACTTTATAATGCTATAACTTATTGAAAAGTGTATGGATCAATACAATTTTTTTATGAGAAATAATATTTATATCCCTCTTTTATTCGACATACTTTTTTAGCTTCGATGCGAAGATGAGAAGGTATTGGTTTTACTATGATGTGTTTTTTTTTTGTTGTGTCTGGTAAGGTATCTAAAATATCCTTAATAACTCTTTATTATAATTTATATGCATCTAAATAATTATTAACATTTAAAAATTGTAGTTGACAATTAATCAATCATCCTGTATATGTATTTTATTTTTTGTCTATTCTAAAAAAACACTTATTAACTGAACAGACATAATAACTGTCCAAGTATAATTGTGTAAAGTCCAAATTTCCAATTATTTATGCTTCTGAAAAGTATCTTTATAGGCTTCTTGTAAAATTCATAATAAAACTGAATATTTTTTTAATTAGGTTGATAAACATGTATAAAATGATTTTTACACTTTAACGCTACTTTTTTAATGTCATTATAAAAATGTTATATATATTTATTTTTTAGATTTTGACTTACAAGATGGTACTTTAAACACTCCAAATAACCCAAACTATGATCATCAGCTAACTATTACATCTTTAAATGAATTAACCGTTTCCAGTATTGGAGCAGTTTCAGGAAATTCAGGTTCTTCACAAGGTTGGATGAATACTGTTCCATTATCAACATCTGCTACTAACACTTTGAACAAACGTACTGCTAATAATTTAAGAATGAAACGTCAAAATGTTAATGCTACTCAAGATTTATATGTCAAAGATTATATTAAAAAAAGAATTCTTATCCTAGATTTATTGGTATGCTCTATTTATTAAATAATTAATTAATCCAAGAATTTAATTTAAAAAAAAAAACCCAACAAATATTTGGTAAATGTAACAATTTTTTTATAAAAAAGATTTTATTTCTTTAATTCACCTTTATTTAAATTTTTTTTTTTTATTTATATTTATCTTACACTCTGCTAGTAAGTAACCCATTATACTTTCTTTTTGTACAAAATGAAACCTTGACAACATGAGCTATTACATATCAGAAATATTTACAGCCTAGTTATTAATTATTTAGATTTAAATTTTAATTTAATGTTAGTTTTCATCATAAAAACAAACTAAAGTCTGAATTTTTTTTTTTCAAAATACAGTATATTACATAAGCTTTAATTTAAAATATATATATATAAGTGTCAGTATTTCCGGAACACTTTCAAAAATTAAGTCGAAAAGTTGTTTTTTCTATATGTATTTTTAAGTTTTGAACCCCCTCTAAATAAAGGGTAATAGTCTGATTAAAAAAAAAAGTATGTCACAAAAAAGAAAAATATAAATAGTATTTATCTTAAAAAAATTATAATGATCAATGCATTTTTCAAAAAGTTATAGCGTTATAAAGTTAAAAATATAATAATTTTTTTTGTATTTGTTAGTAATTTTAAATTAAATTTTTTTTTTTTAATTTAAAAAAAAAATAAGATTTTAATATAATCTAAAACTGTAAATATTATTTTAAATAAATGAAGATAATGGAAAATATTTGCTGAATCAAACATTATTAGATTTTTCAAATATTTTGTAAATTTATTTATTTTAATTTTCTTATATTGTATTTATTTATATAAAGGCTGTTCAAATTGAGTTTTTGAGTACATGGCAAAATCCTGCTGGTTTATCTGAACTCAATGTACCAGGAGAAGATATGGTAGCATCATGGAAATCTAAAAACGTACCTGATAAATCTTTACGAGAAAATACTAGATTAGCTTGGGATATAAGCCCAGCTCTTTGTATTTTTTTACCAGTTCGGTTGAAAAATTCTGATTGTGTTATTAAAGAAGTCTGTAGAATGGTAAGAGCAAACCCAATGGCAGTTTCACATATACCTGAAGCTTTACAATATTTAGTAACAACCGAAACTTTGTTAAATGATGCACCAGAAGTAAGTTCCAAAAAGTTAAATATTTTGTACTCCAACCTGATCTATAATTTTACTAATATTTCAGCTTGTTTACATGTTAACATGGGCACGAGTTACACCAGTTCAAGCATTATCATATTTTTCTAGACAGTATCCTCCACATCCAATTTCTGCACAATATGCTGTCCGAGTACTAGAGAGTTATCCAGCAGATGCTGTCTTATTTTACATTCCACAATTGGTCCAAACTCTTCGACATGATACAGTACGATAATAAATAATAATTATTAATTTATTGATTGTAAAAAATAATTTCTTTTAAATAAATACCTGATAATTCAGTTATTTTACAAATATTAAAAATTCAATAAAATGTAGATATATGTTTAAATAGCCTGAGTAATTTAATTAATGTTTAATAATTAGTATTGAAAATTATATTTAACCCCTGTTTTATTATTTGAAGACGTGTTATATTATTAATCACTTATTTCAAATCAATGTAGATGGGATATGTATTAGAATTTATTAAGTCTATTTCTTTACGTTCTCAAGTGGTGGCTCATCAATTAATATGGAATATGAAAACAAATATGTACATTGATGAAGAAATGCAGCATAAAGACAGTAATTTTATTAACAGTTTTTTTTTTTACTTATAAAGTTTTACATAATTCTTTCTGTTATAGCTGCTCTTTATGATACTTTGGATACATTAACTAATGCCATTGTAAGTTGTTTATCGGGTTCAGCTAAAAAGTTTTATGAACGTGAATTTGATTTTTTTTCTAAAATCACTGACATATCTGGAAAAATTCGACCATTTCCAAAAGGTAATTGTGATAAACTAATCATAATCTTGATTAAATTAAGTATATTTATATTTTATTGAATGTGTATTTTCTTTAAAAATACATCTCAATATTTTTCTTAAAATCAAATGTAAAATTGAAGTTCAACTTTTTTATTTACTTCATGAGATCATACTTAAAATATAAAATTGGGTGCCTGAATTGGTCAGTTTCATATATAACATTCTTTAATACTCAGGTACTATGATTTCCTATCTTATATATAGTGGAAGTTTAGGATGAGGATATCCAACCTCAAGTATTTGGATAAAGGTGAGGTAAAAGAAGAAAAAGATATAGATTTTTCATCTTGCAGTACTTTACTAGATAGGATATTTAAGTCACTAAAGGGAAGATTAAAGTTAATGGTCTTAAATTAAAAACCAAAATCTTATATCTCCAAAACATGAGATTTTTAGAAGTCATTCAATTTTTTTAAAAAATAACTTGTCCCCAATTTAGCCCCTGAATGATGAAAATTTATATTTTTTTGTATTCTAATATTTTATATTGTAATTTTTGACCAAAATTTAGTAGAAGGATGCTCTTAATTAAGATAAATTTTTATACCTATAACTACAGGAAATCAACAAGATAATAAAATAGAATAATTTGTATTACAAAATAATTAATTAAGATAAACCTGAAAAAACATGATTGATTATTTGTAGTTAATTAATTTAAAAAAAATAAACAAAATCTACCAATTTATTATTTTTGAAAACTTATTTTTATAAATTGGAATACTCAGAAATAATATTAAAGGTAATATAATGATGGGTTAATTACCCATCATTATATTGTAAATTTAATACTAATTTATTGTTGTTTTTAACTTAAAAACAATGTTTTCAAAGTACACATATCCTCTGAATTTTTCAGGACTTTTAGCTTCGATGCGAAAAAAATTGAAAAAAATTCCCTCGTTCCCCGCAAATGGGGGAAATATCCAAAAAAATTCCCGAAAGACTGCGTCCTTTAAACATATATCAAATTAAAGCTTATTTTATGTACTACAAAATGAAAAAAAAAAATTTGTCCCGACACTTTTTTTTCTACATTTAAACGGCTGCCGTAGTTAAAAAAACACTATTTTTGTGTTAAAATTTTCGATTTTCGATTTTAAATTTTCAACTTAAAAATGCTATAACTTTTTGAAAAATGTATATATCAGCACAAATATTTTTTTTCTAAATATATTATAAGTACATCTTTCATTTGACATACTTTTTATTAAAATTGGACAATTTCCCCTTATATAGGGGGCGTTCAAAACTTAAAATATTGTAAAAAACATAGATCTTTTTCAACTGAACTTTTGAAAATGTTCCGGAAATACTGCGTCCTTTAAACATATATAAAATTAAAGCTTATTTTATGTACTACAAAATGAAAAAAAAAAATTTGTCCCGACGATCTATCTTCTATACGCAAATGGCTACCATATTGAAAAATATACTATTTTTGTATGATAATTATGGGTTTTGTATTTTATTTTAATAGAAGTTGATGTTGCTTTTGCAATTATCCATCAATTTTTTTAAATTAAACACTATCTACAGATTTGCATCGAAGCGTTTCTTATGATAGTGATTTTAATCACTGTCAGATTAAATCTATACTGAACCCAACTATTTTTTTTTTTTTTTTTAATATATTGTTTCTATACCTAGTGATACATACTATTAATATGTTGAAAATAAAAAAAAACAATTCCAAAAAATAAAAGACGATAATTTTAGGATTCTTTTTAATTTCACTAAAATGTATTATTTTACAAAATATTTTAATAAAAAGTTATTTAGGAAGTTTCAATTATTGAAAGTAGAACAATAAATTTGTAATTAATTTTAGGACCTGAACGTAAACGAGCATGTTTAGAAGCACTTAGTAAAATTGAAGTACAGCCTGGATGTTACTTACCTTCTAATCCAGAAGCAATGGTTATTGATATTGATTACAATAGTGGCACTCCTATGCAAAGGTTGAAAAATTATATTTAATATTTAATATTTTATAATTAATAATAAAATAAAATATGCCTAAAGATAATTAGTATTAATAAAAATGTTAAATTCTTGGTTAATGAATTTTTTTTTTTTATATATATAAATCTTTATGTTAAGTTCTTTTTATAATAAAAAAACTATAATTAAAAACTTACAAAAATAATAAAAGTAAATCACATTTTTATTTGTCATTTCTATTAATAACATATTATGCATTATAGTGCTGCAAAAGCCCCATATTTAGCCAGATTTAGAGTTCGAAAATGTGGTATAAATGAATTAGAACAAACAGCTATGGCTATTTCTGACCAACAAATAAATGGTACCTTAAGCAAACTTGATGAATCTTCAAAATCTATGATAGGTTTAGATACCTGGCAAGCAGCTATATTTAAAGTAAAATTTATAATTAGCTTTTATAAATATTTTACTAGAATTTCTTTCATTTATTCATTTTCAGGTTGGTGATGATGTGCGTCAAGATATGTTAGCTCTACAAGTTATTAGCATATTTAAAAATGTATTTCAACAAGTTGGCTTAGACCTATATTTGTTTCCATATCGTGTTGTAGCTACTGCTCCAGGTGTAAGTAATTTTATATTTTTATTTTGAAGAAAAGAAAGTCCATCTATTAAATAAATTCTTCTTCTTCTTCTTGGCATTACAACTCTTCAAGAGTTTTAGCTGCCACCGACACCGCCTTCCCCACTCCTCTCGATCTTGTATTTTTTCTTCTCAATTTAGTAACCCTAGTTTCTCTAAATCCTGCTTTATTCTATCTATCCATCGCATCTTTGGACGTCCTCTTGGCCTTTTTCCTGTGGGTTTCCATTCAGCCGCCACTTTAAGGTTCTCTGAGTTAGACCTTCTCATCACATGCCCAAACCATTGTATCCTTTGGGCCTTTACAAAGTTGGTTATCCTTGGTACTCCTGTCAACTCTTGGGTATCTTTATTCATCCTTCTACGGCGTAAGATATTAGATTCTAATATCTTAATGCCGCAATTGACACTATATACTGACACAACATTTCTGTAAGAGTCTGACATACTCCCGCACGTTATAAGCTTAATGTGTTCCAAGTCGCAATCTTAATCTCCTTGTTCTTCTGTTTCCGTTCTCCATTTGGGTTATCCGTTTCTCTAGTCTGAGGCTTTGTTGGTGGTTTCTTAACAGGACATTTTTTACGATGTAGGGTTGTTAACCCTACGATCAACTCTCTATGCCTTGAAGAGAAGGAGCTCGGGGCCCGGATTCGCTACACCCGTAACACAATGACTGTGTTTCCCCTGGGAGTTATTAAATAAATTACTAATTGCAAAAAACAAAAAAATATTTTTAAAATTTGGATGTTTAATGAAAAATAATTTTAGATACATAAAAATATTAACAGATTAACATAGCAATGAATTATAAGCATTTATAAATATTGTTTAAACCACTTTCAAGGATACCCAGCTTCTGCAATTTTATCATTGAATTATTACTCAAAAATATTTTTGGTTTTAGGAACAGAATTAATCTTGATTAATACTTATAATAACACATTACTAAGTGTTCAATTAATCTAAATTTGTATTAACTGATGGTGTGTTCGGATTAACTCGACAAAATTTATAAATGCATATAATTCACAGACCTGATCAAAAACAATATTTTGAACACCTCATGATTACAGGAGGTCTTAAATAATTAATCTCAAACTATGTCAATTATCATAGCTATATTTTGTACTTAACTCTTATTCTATTATTTTTTCAACAGTGTGGAGTAATAGAATGTGTTCCTAATGCAAAATCGAGAGACCAACTTGGTCGTCAAACTGATTATGGAATGTATGAATATTTTATTAAAACATATGGTGATGAAAATACAAAAGAATTTCAGGTATAAAAAATCAATTGAATGTTTATTAAATTTCGCTGAATTAATATATAATATTAATGAACAATGCCATACAATATTTGAATGTAAAATTTTTCTTGATGTCAAAAGTATTTTATATTTCTGTCTCCTTTTTAATTTTTAACTTTTAGTGAACATTGTATAAGTTAATTGATAAAAGTAACATAATTTATATACCTTAATATTTCTTTCTTAATTTTATAAGTTTCTTCAATTTTGCATAATATCATTTATAAGTTTTAAATGCTTTAAGCATTATTTTAGAACTTTTATAGAAATTAGACTAAAGAAAAAAAAATGAAATGTTCGGGTTAATAATTAATTACTCTATTTTATTTTTAGAATGCTCGAAGAAACTTTGTTAGGTCTATGGCAGCTTATAGTGTAATTGGATTTTTGTTACAAATAAAAGATAGGCATAATGGAAATATTATGTTAGATACCGATGGTCATATTATTCATATTGGTTAGTTTACTGTATTACAGTATTTAGAATAAACATCTTTTTGTTTTTACTAGAAGTAATCGTTTTTATTATTTTTTATAGACTTTGGATTTATGTTTGAGTCATCACCTGGTGGAAATTTAGGTTTTGAACCCGATATAAAACTTACAGATGAAATGGTCATGGTAATGGGAGGTAAAATTGATGCTCCACCATTTCGATGGTTTACAGAATTATGTATACAAGCTTACTTGGCTGTTAGGTATGTGATATTGTATTATATATATTTTATTAATTTGGCCATAAATATACTTATTTTATATTTCTAGACCTCATAAAGAAGCAATAATTTCGCTTGTATCATTAATGTTAGACACAGGTCTACCTTGTTTCCGAGGTCAAACAATCAAATTATTACGTACTAGATTTGCTCCTCAATCTACAGATAGAGAAGCAGCTGTGTATATGATGAGCATTATACATAAATCTTTCCTTAATTTTAGAACAATTGCATATGATTATTTGCAACTTTATCAAAATCAAATACCATGTTAAAAATGTTTAATATTAGATTAATTTAATTATTGGTATAGGTTAATTGTTTATTTGTTATTATTTGTTACTACTGTTTTAATATTTTTACTTTTATTGATCTTTTAATCAATTTTAAAATTCCTAATTCACTATTCTTTTTATGAGTACAATATAATTATTATTTTTCTTTAATTACTAATTTTACATTTCAGTATCCAATACCAGTCTTTATTTTCTTTTTTTAAATTATTTAGATATCAAAAATAATTTAAGAGTGTGAAAATAGTTTCAATATATAGATTTAAATTTAAATGAGTAAAGCATGCTTAAATATTTAATACCTAAACAACTTCTATAACACTTTATACTTATTACTTAAATAAAACTATAATTCAGTATTTATGTTTATTTGCTTAATTTAAAACTAAAATTTTGATTTTTATAGTTAACATTTTTTTCTATGTCTAATTAATTATTTATGTAAAAGCTATAATTAAGTAAGTATTGTTAGTATAAACGTGATACAATTTTTCTTCACTAAAATTGATTTTCTGGAATAATTATTATTGGTGTATTTTATTTCAAATAAAGTTATTTGTTATATTATATTTAAGGTTATCTTTTAAATTATTCATTTTTAAAATAAGTCAATATTACAACTGTTCAATAAGATATTCATGTAAATTATAAAAATTTACTGTTTTTATTATATAAATAAAAGTGCATAATAATGAAATTATTTCACTCAACACACAATAAATGGGTTTATATGAGTAAACACATTTATATCATTGTAAGGATATAAACTTAGTTCTTTCAAAGGGAAACACATATTTTGAATTTAATAAAATGTCAGAAGATTTTTTTTAATGATTAATGGTGTTTGGATTTTCAATATAACTTATTCAGATATAACACTTTAATATTTCAAATTTTTGAGTTGAAATACATATATAATATAAAAGACATTCCATTAACCGTAGCTAATTGTTTTTATAACGCATTTATTATGTTTTATTTATTTATTTACAGATAAACAACAATTATGTCTTTATTTATGGATATGCTTTAAGTAGTGTAGCTTATAAAGCAATATTGTTAGTTAACTTTTATAAATACACCAGCAAAACAGAAAGCGTATCTATAAAAAAAAAATTATCTTAAGTTAATATAATTCCTCATAAATTATACATGTATTTCAACTCAAAAATTAAAATGTTATATCTAATAAATGGATGAAGTTATATTAAAAGTTCAAATACTATATACTATTCAAAAAAAATCCTCACACATTTTGTTTAATTGAAAATATGTGTTCCCATTTGAAAAAAAAACAAAGTTTTAACCCTTGATAGGCATAATAGATGTACTTAAAAAGTATAACATAGCTGAATAATTAGAGAATAATATGTAACAAAAAAAAAAAAGTTTTCAAAGATATTTTTATTTTACATATAATTGAATGACTTATAACAAAAAATTTACTATATATTATCATAATTTTCTTTTAAACTTATTATATAATTTTAACTTTAATGCGAAGCTTAGTAAGTATTAATTTTACTATGATGTTTTTTTTTTTTGTCTGTTACAACTTTTTCTCAGCTCTCACCGCACTAATTTCTTTCAACAATATATCAAAAGATCACAAATTGTATCTAGTTCAAGACATTGCCCTTAAAAATTGAAAAATTTTCATTCGTTCCCTGTAACCTGTAAAATAGGGAAATCTCCTAATTTTCAATTACAATTTTTTCCTGAAACTACCATAACTTTTTCAAAAATGAATGAATCAAAATAATTTTTTAGCTTCGATGCGAAGCTGAGAAGGTATTGGTTTTATTATGATGTGTTTTTTTTCTTTTTTGTGTCTGTTACCACTCTTTCTCAGCTCTCACCGAATTGATATATTTCAACGATACATCAAAATATCACAAATTGTATCTATAGTATCAAAAATTGAATAAGTTATAATGCTATAATTTATTGAAAAGTGTATGGATCAACACAATATTTTTATAAGAAATAATATTTTTTAATAATCCCTTTTTCATTCAATATACTTTATCTTAATCAGAATATTAATAAGGAACTAGCAGATCATGTAGCTTTTGGAATAATACACCAATTTTTTAAAATATATTTTACATTTTTTACTTTAAAATGCTTTACTTTTCAATTTAAAAATTGAATAGATCAATAAAATTTGTTCATGAAAAGTAGTATTTATATACATCTTTCATTTACCATACTTTTTTTTTAAATCAGACCATTAACACGGCCGCCGGGGATTGACGGCCGGTTATAGAAAGTGTACCGGAAATCATGTGAAAAAAGACGCACGATACGGGATCAGAACCCGCGACCCAAGGCGTCGTACAGACAAACCTTACCACTAGGCCACCGTGCGCTTATGATTCAGATTCCGATACACTTTTATTTAGGTTGATAACGTGATGTGCGGCTGAGGGAAACACGATACCGTGTTACCATTTTTCTATATACGATTCAAATCTGAAAAATGCATTTAGAAAGTAGAACTTTTTCAACTTAACTTTTGAAATTGTTCCGGAAAGTCTGACACTTTTATATATATATTAAATTAAAGATAATGTAATTTACTTTATTAAGAAAAAAAAAAAATTTAGGACTTTATTTTGTCTTCACGGTGAAAACAAACATCAAAGTTAATCAAAAAAAATAGAATTTTTGTAATGCTATAACTTTTTGAAAAATGTATGGATCAATTTTTTTTTTTTTATAGATGCTTCATTCCTTTACCTATCATTTGGTATATTTTTTTATAAATNATAGATGCTTCATTCCTTTACCTATCATTTGGTATATTTTTTTATAAATATGACCCTTTACCTGCCCACAAGGTGACATTCAAAATGACAACTTTTTCACAAAAAATTTCCTTTTTCAATTTAACTTTTGAAAATGTTCGTTGTACTTCGTCCTTTAAACATATGTTAACTTAAAGCTTATGTTACATACTATAGATTAAAATAAAGAATTTGTCCCCACTTGTATTCTTCTACATAGGACTTCAAAATTGAGAGATGAATATCAATAGTCAAAATATTAAAATTGGTATATTTATTTTAAGGAATGTAAAATTTAGAAATCGAGGAGAGAATAAATATTTATATCTTGCTAATGTAAAAAAATATAATTAATAAAAAATTTGAAATACTTATGTATTGATTCAATCAAATTATATTATAAAGCTAGCCATTCAGAAAATGAGACTGAATATAAGTTTAAATATACTCATTAATTGGTATTGTGATTTAAATACTTTTTATGGTTTAATAATTATTGCTCCTAAACTATTTTTTTAATTAAAAATTTACAGTTATAATCTGTAACAAGTTATATTTAGTTGTATTAAAATTATACCCTTAAATCATTAGTTTTATTTTAAAAAAACCCAGCACAGGGGGGTCGCGGCACAGTGGTTACGTGGCATAGTTGGATCAAGTATAATGATATCTGACAGTGATTAAAATCACTATCATAAG